GTAGCTCCTTGTGAACTGCTTTAACTTGTGCTATGTATTGTTTTAAATGGGTATGAAGACTGAAATACGTGCAGTTTTTTCAGTTGTGTGTGTTTTAACAGAAGTGTCCCAGAGTTCTGCTTCAGAGGTGTGCTTGTGTTCAGACTTCACAGACATGGCCATATGGAAACCACCCAGTTCATTCTAATTTTGATGCACTACTGCAAGGGTTTAACTGCTGATTTAAAGAAAATGCCAGATTTAGGAATGGTTTCAGTGCCAAAATTAAAAGTATGCCACTTAATGTGCCTCCAGTGAAAATGACCCCTGTTTCCAGCTTGATTTTCCATTTACTTCTTTGAGGGGAGGAGAAGGAGAAAAGTCTTTGTGAGTTTGACTATCAATGCTGGAATTCAAATCAGGAGGCAGATGGCCTTATCTTTGTATGCCAGCTGTATCGATATCGGTTTTTAGGAATGGTTTCTTATCGGAGTTTGTACAGCAGCATCACTGCCCTCCTGTTGAATTCACATTAACCTTGATGACCAGGGCATCTGGTCAGATATCATTGTTCCTATGAAGCGTCCGCTTTTTGTCAAATTCATTTTTAACTGAGTCGTAAAATGCCTTGGGGGGGGGGGGGAAGGTTAGAGCCCTTTTTTCTATGAATTATATAAAATGGAAAATCTTTAAACCTCAAGATCATATTTATAGTATTAAAGTCATTTTGCTAGTAAATGAATGTGTATCTGGTTTGAAACCCTATTGTCATTGCTCTGGCTAATTCAATTGGAGCACACTTTCTTCCTCCATCAATACAGTTTGAAACACAAGTACATCAAACAGCTGTGCATGGGATTGCTCTTTAAATCAAGAGCCCCATTTTGAAAGGCACGGCTGATTTTTGCCATAAATGGGAATTGATGCAATACACATGCTGGGCACAAACTTCCTCCACTCTTCAGATTGATTTTTTTTTTCCGTCCTGACCACAAAAGGGCTGGCGTGAGAGGGAGTTCCTGGTTTTACAGCGGCCTTTGTCCCTGCTTGAGAAAGGCAAATGCAAATTGAGCGCGGCAGTCAGCAGACTCTTGCTGTCGAACTGGAACTGGCAGCCTGCAGGCTTGGATGGGCTTCGGAGGAGAGGATCTCCCCGGGTTGTCCCGCAGCGCTGCCTAGCGCTCACCTTTTAAATGGCAATCGTTTAAGCCGATAGACCCCAGAGAAGCAAGATTTTCCCTGGGGACCAGTTTCAGGGAGGGGAATATATTAGTTAGGGATCCCATTATGAAACGCATCTTTAAACTTCCAGAAAAGGCAGTTTAACCCTGTGGCGGTCATGAAGTATTAATAGCACCTCGTTAATGTGTGAATCCAGAATGTGGTGTTTCGCGGGGACGGAGAAGATTTTATCCTCTGTACGGCTGTATTTTGCTAGAGGAAGTCACGATGCTAAAAGCGGTTTCCTCCATTAAAAGATTATTTTCCTATAGGGGCATTGAACAGTTCTTGAAAAAGCTAGTTTGGGTTGTGGGAGGGCAGGTCTCGCACTGAGCTGCTCGTCTGCTCCTGTGAAAAGCAGGAAATCTTAGGAGTCTTATTTGTAGTTCTTAGAACTGCCACTTCTCTTTGCGTGTAAAAATACAGGCTGAAGTGAGTTTGAAAACTGAACCAAACAAAGACGAAAAGTAAAGATTTTATGTTTGTATTTGGCTTTGAAGTGGAGCAAGGAATCGATTTGTAAATTGGAGATTTGTGTTCTACTGGGAAGACCCATTGTTGGGAGAATACGTTTGTTGGAAAAGCTCTTTTTCAATCTACAACTACCTCTAGTCAACTTTATCTTCATACCTACAGCCTTATGCAGATGGGAACTGGTGTTGATTTGAAGGGATTGAAAGAAAATGGCTTGTCAGGTTCTCTTGTTTATTTTTGTAAGACAAGCTTAAGAAGGGATTTTATCCACTGCTTTTGTCACCATTTTTTAAACTTCTGAAAGAATTTTGAGCACTCGATTTTTAGACAAAAGGAGGATGTTACATGTGGCTTGAAATATTTATCATTTGCGTTGTGCTTTCCTTGTGGGGAAAAGTACAATTTGCCTACTACTTTGGCACTGCAATCCATTGCTCTTAATTCGTATTGTTTCACAGTTGGGTTTGGAGCTGGGGGTATCCAGTGCAGGCCTGTGTCTTTGTTGCCGTGTTGTGGCCTGCACAAACAACTGTTGCTAGGAGCTTCTTCACACTACAGGAAGTGGATAGCTGCCACGGGAGTGTGTTTTGGAGCCATGGTGCTCGCTACATCCTTCAACATCAGCCATCCAGCACCATCTTCGCCATGACATGCCTATACATCAGCACAGAAGATTTTTTTTTTAACTTAATGCTTCTCGATTAATACGTTAATCACCCTGCTGTTATAAAAATGGAAGTCATTTGAAGCTGCGTGACCATCTTTAATGACCTCCTGCATAGATGTTTTTGACAGCTTCATTTTTTTTTGCCAATCCTGTTTTTTTACAATGGTTTCGTTTTCTGCAAAAAGCCCCTTAATGTTATGGAGAAACTGCCAGTTTGCAAACCTATCTGGTCGTGCAGTTGTTCAGTCTGAAATATTTTAATGCTCAAAAATAAAATGGCTAGTAGATGTTTAGTTTTTAAATGGTATAAAACAAGACGCTGTTCTTCACCCTTTCCAGGGAGATGATGGAATTTGTCACTTTGAAGTCTTGGAAAGGTTTTGAAGAGGCCGTACTACACCTAGAATGAAAACCTTCTCAGACGACTTAACTTGCGCACAAGAATTAAGATTGAGTACAGTCTAGAAGTTAATTTGGCCAGTGTTACTTCTGGTTTTCTGTACTCTGTTTCTGTTGGATTAAAAGTGATGTAAACAGGCTTGTGAATACAATTCATATGGCCTGCAAGTTTTGTTGTCTTGTTTTGCATTGCAGAATATGGCTCTGTGCATACCTGGAAATGTAGTCTATTTTGTGATGTAAATTTGAGGTTTTACAAGTTACTGTGTACCTTTTGCTTTTATTGTGGTTTGAAGTGCACTCATCAGTACTAATCCTTTCTAACCCCGAAATATGAAAATAGCGTTGCAGTTCCTCTTTAAGAAACCAGAGCTCTGATCGCTATCATGAGCTGCCAACCCTTGTATAGCAGTCCGGTCCAAAATGGAACCAGAAACGGGTTCCTGACTGGACCTTAAAAGAAATGAAACTACTGTAGCAACAGAACATCTGGGTGAGATTTGGGTATTGATTTCTAACCAAATATGCAAAATAGGACACAACCTCCTCTTGAATGTGATGTTTTTTTTTTACATCTAAGAGGAGGGCCTGGCTGCACAGGTGAACATGTGGGAGATTTACACATGCTGTACTGTGACGTTTGTAATAGACAGGCACAATTATGCACATACAAAAAATTTCTAGAACTTGTAGAAAACCTTTATTCTTACTTCCTGTTAATTTAGATATCGCCCTTATGGTATGAGATGCACAACCTGTTATTTACTGTCAAGGGACTGTTTATACAGTCTGGTGAATTACTGTCCTAATTAGGAACAGCTTTGCACTTAATAGCACTAATTAATAAAACGGGGTACATGAGAGATGCTTTCCTTCACCATTAGGCAAATATTTTCCTGCAGTGTTCCGATTAATCAATACAGGTTCTTGGCTCTGGTATTCAGTTTCAAGTGCTCATCACTTCAGTTGGCATCATTCCAGCCGCAGTATTGTCAACTTCTGCATCAGGATTCCACACCATGGCAAACCTTTGGTCCAGCTCATCCTTAATTATAAGAGTGAAAGTGATTTGTCATACACTACACTAATTAAGCAATTAATGATCAGTTTGGTACTATTGGAAGATTTACCATACTGCGTCAAGGTTTCAAAGTTGACCACCCCTGCAATAACTCCTCAACCCAAGGGAGCAGACTTAATTTTCCTGTTGCACTGAAGTCCTCTGGCCCAGCATTAGGTATACCCTTAACTGTTCCTTGAGCTTGCAAGTTGATTAACCTGAAGATATCCAAGTTTTTGTTTTATGCATGTTGCCTTAGGGGTGAGGTATTATTTAATGGGGTGAAAAACAAATTGGACATGGGTGAGTGCACAAGAATGCTCAATAGTGGCTTCAGTATTTATTCAGTTGAAGTCTTTTTTTTTCATGCTTCTTGGAGAATTAACTATTGCTCAGCTTGTCCATTAGTCTTAAAGGAAGCAGATTTCTTGACTGACCCAGATTGTCAAGGTTTTTTGGGGGGGCATTTGGCAACCCCACTGAAAGGAGAGATGGTCTGGCTATTCTCTAGGATCCTACTCTGCTAAGTGTGTCATTTGCCATCTTTTTCAACAGCCTTGGATCTGACTGATGGAAAGTTGTGGATAGGAGAGAGTGGCACTACTGGCTGAGATAAGGGAAACTTTCAGCATTGGAGGAGAGATAACCTGCAGGTGGCAAATGGTAGAAAAGGCAGCCTTGCTTTCCTGGCAGTTAAGGGATGGTGTCCAAGTGTCTTCTGTAACTCGGGTAAAGCTCTCTCTTGTGCATTTTAAGGAGGCTGATCAGGTAGTTGCATCTGTAGTTCAGTTGCTGTTCAAGAGGTCTATGCCTGAAATGGGACTCGCACCCTTTTTTCCTGGCAGTTGTATGCTGTGACTTGTCAATGTAATTTCTTGCACTTATGGGCTATCCAGTGCAGTTTAATTTTACTTTCCTTTTCTACACATATAATGGAGGTTGTTAAAATTTTAGCATGCAAAACTGCCATCCAAGGGGTACTTTGGGATTGAGGTTTTGTTATTGGGTTGACATTCTTGTTTCGTTTGGGTACCAAGTGTCATTTTTATAATGTCATTTCTAAACTGTTCCTTAGAAATTACAGGGAAGTAGAGCAAGCCAGATTGAACAGTGAATAAAACCTTCTCATTCACACTGGTGATACTTGAATGATGGGGGGGTGCTTTCTTTTTATTATTGCAAAGAATTTCTGCTGCCTCTAGGGACATAACCGATGTCTGAAAGTAACCAGACTTTCCCTCTTAATTGTGGTGCCAGGTCAGATTCTCCAGTGGGCCTTGACCTGAAACAGCCCGTCTTGGTGTGGTGCTGGCCCTAAGGTGTTTCACATTGTTGTGGGAGGTACATGCAGAGAAACAGGGCTGTGCTCTTGAAGACATCTGGTCTAACCGGCTTCAAGTACATAACAAGGGCAAGGTTAGAATGCATTGAGGAAGCTAAAGTATTGCTTTAGTCAATTGTCAGTGCACTGTGCACCTGGCAGAGGTGCTAGAAGATCCACACAATTGTGGAAACAGGATAAGAAAGCTATACTGAAAAGCTGGTCTTTCTTGGTTGAGAAGATAAGCTGTTTTTTTTTCTCGCAGAGTGGCCTAAATAGTATCCAGGGCAAATTAATTTCTGCGATGCAAAGTTTTTCTGTAGTATTTATATTCTGCAAATAAACTTTTTTCACCTGCATTTATTCAACATTTGTACCTGTGGGACTGTGATGGATTTCATAAACGAACAGTTTATTTAACAAGGCAATTAAGAACTGAAGTCCAAGGTGTGTGCAGCCCTTTAGATCTCAAGGACTATCAGTCTCTCCTTGTGCTCTTCTATCAGCTGTTTTTCAGAACGGACAACCCTTTTTATAAAGGGGACTGCAGACCAGTGTCTTGGAGAGACAAAAATTGTTTCCAGAAATGAGGTTGATGTCCTTGATCTTCAGCTCAGGTTCAGTGAATGTGCTGCAGAAGTTTTGGTATTCAATAAAATGACCAGACAAATTGCCATGTATCTGAACCCCTCAAAATGTGAGTATTTTGCTCTTTTTGAGGCACATCTTTGAAGCAACTGTCACACTGGGACGACTGTTTGATAGGAAATAATTTGAGGAATTAGCCTGCTCATTTAGCAGATGAGTATCGCAGTGACCAAAGGCTAAAGCATGAAACATGGCAACAGCTTCTTCAAATTCCCTGCCAGGAAGGCCTCAGTATGTCAGGACTTGGAGTGGGAGCCTCCCGATAAGGAGCCCTTTATCTTAAACGTGGACGTGCCTAGTCCATCAAGTAACGAAATGTGGAAGATGTCATCTTAAACCAGGTCTAGCGTCCAAGCTGGAAAAGCAGTCCGTCGGATAATGAACAGGCTTGCCCACAACTGGAGGAAGTGAAAGTTTCCCTTACTAGCCCATGTTCACACAGAATAGCCCATCTTGGCTCTGTTTAAATGAACCCTGGTGTTGAGCAAATTCAAGTGGGCCCTGTAGAGGTTATATGGCAGGATAACAGCACCTAGTCTGTCTAGACTCCATTTAGCCACAGATTTTTCCATTTATAGTCTTGACAGGACTGTTATTGTGGACTCTTGTTTCAAATCATGAGGGAAGTGCTGCCTGTATCTCTGGCTGCTGAAGAAGCAAAGGGTTAGATAATGACAAATCAAGAGTCTATGAAGCATCTTTTAATATAGAACTAATCATCCTAGCACCTGCCCACCCCTGTGTTCTGGCTACGATCCTGCTACGTTGTCAGTGACCCTGATCAATCGTGCCATTATCAATATGAGGGTGGGGAGGACGGGGTAAGTATGAGTAAGTAGGATCTCATGGTCATAGATCTTCTGTGTAGGCTGGCAGCTATCCAGCAGCTGTCTTTATCACCTCCACTTCATTAATGGCCGCTCGTGGGAGGTCAGCATTGATCAGCACGTATGTCTCCTTGATCGCAGGAAGATGGAGCTCTTCTGTAAATATGGCGTGACAGTACATGAGTAAAGAGCATCACTGAAGTAGCGAATAAACTGCACCTGTCCTGGTGCATCTGAAGCAGTAATCGTTTTGAAATGCTGCTGTAGAAGAATCTGAGTGGGGGCATAAACCATCCAGTTCCCTCCCTGACTTTGCACTTTTGCACCGATGGGGTCTTGTCTGCTCACATTCGCTTGTCTGCTGTTGCTGAATACAAATGTCTGTGTACCAGCTGAAAGGCAGTAATGACCTACCCCCCATTTTTTTTGCCTCAGTAACAGACCATTAATTTTTAGTTCTCCACAGCCTCTCAACAGCCTTCTTCAGTTTCCCTTAAAGACATCTCAGAATGGCGATATCCACCGTTTGTTCGAGTCCGATTTCCATGTTTCAAGGTCAATGTAAGAAACCCTTTTCAAGGTTGCTCAGAGGAAAATCTTGCAGTAGTCCTTGTTGTGCTCCACCAAAATAGAAATAGACCTTTTTAGTTCTTTTAAGGCTGTTTATTGTAATAACCGTAAGCGTTTGGTAGGAATTGATGTTGGACATAAGCAAGGCAGTGCAGTCGGAGTGTTCAGCACAAAGTCCTTCCTCTGCATTTTAGAAAGGCAGCTAGTGAAAAAGGTTTTAGTGTTCGGGATGGGTAGTCCAGTTCCTGGAGGGCCAGTGTGTATCTTTTCAGGGAACTGGCACTTGGAGAGCTGGGTGGGGGGGAACATGCATACTTATGTTGGTCCCATTATACCAAGAATAAGAATTTTCAACCTTGGTTGCTTAATTGGGGTACATTTTCAAAGCGACAACTTAAGAACTTTTTTCCACCCCAAACAAGCTAAATGGTGCCATGGAACTAGCATCTTCAGGTCTCCCGGTTTGTCGGACCCCAACAGGAGCTGCACCCTAACATGTCTGTCCTTCCTCCGTCTCTCTCAGACATGACAACGATCCGGAAGAAGCTGGTGATCGTGGGCGATGGTGCCTGTGGGAAGACGTGTCTACTGATCGTCTTCAGCAAGGACCAGTTCCCCGAGGTGTACGTGCCCACCGTCTTCGAGAACTACATCGCCGACATCGAAGTCGATGGCAAGCAGGTGGGTGGCACAGGACAGGGGGAGAGGAAAGCGGGTTTGAGTCCAGCTGCTTCTAGCAAACTGGGCAAGAGCTGTGCCCTCATCAGAGATGTCCTACAATGTAGTTTAATATCCCGATTGTCATACAGATAGGTAGGTATAGATAGATCAAAAACCAACTAGCGTTGTATTTTAGTGTTCTGTACTTAACATCCTTAAGCTTAACGGCAAATGCATACACTTTATCTCTTTTTTGAACTTGAACTTTTTTTGAAAAAATGAGAATTTATTGTAGCTTTTACTATAGACATTAAATTTGAAGTAGCGAGAACAAGGTCTAACAAAAGTTGTCAACGTTGCAGTACCTGTAGTTTTATGTAGACAGCCAGAACAGCATTTCAGGTTTTGCAAACTTTGCTGACAGCAGATGGGAAGATGGAGGATTTTTTGCCGTCTCTGCACATTTTTGGTTGCTCTTTGCAGAGGCGTATTGTATTATCTTTACCTTTGGCTTGCCTGCAAGTTGACACATTGGCGGCTTTGCAGAGAAACGGAGCGCTGTGATGTTGGCCGCTGGTGACTGAGCAGTAGCCCATTAAGAGTGCCCACACAGCTGGGCTTTGACAGGTTGTGAGAACTGTCAGTATCAGCGGAGATGATTATTGGTTGTGTCCTGTGGTTGGGGAGCAGGTCCCGCCCACGCAGCATTGACAGGCCGCGTGCACTGTGAAGAACGGCTTGGCGAGATTAATTTCTCAAAGAGCATATGGTGCACAGCAAGTGGTTTTTGGAAAATTGACATTAAACAGGGTAATGATAGTAAGCAGGATGATGGGTAATACGGTCACCTCTAACTTCACTGAAATTCAAAGGCTCTGGGGTTGGAGAACCCCTGGAGAAGGGAATGGTGACAATTCCGCCACTTTCAATGCTCGAGTTGCTTTGGCAGAGAAAGGTGAAGCCAAGCAGTAAACTGGGCAGACAAACTGCAGATAGTGTACTGTTTTCAGTGTTTGTTATTCAGCAACGCTTCAATCTTTTAAAAGACAATTAGCAGGCATCTTGTCTTCGGTGGACTCCGGTTTAGAAAAGCTTAATCGTTGCCTTCTGGGTTTAATTCATCATTAATAAGTATTTTAAATATTGTAACTATGCCTATTGCCAGCCTAAAATTGAAAGCAGCTCAGCGTATTGAATAAATACCAGATTTTAATGTTTTAACTGTGAGCCAGTTGGCTAAAGGCCAGTGTAAAGGGTTGTTGTACTCAAAATAAAAAAACAGAAATGCAAAACAGTACAGATCTAGCTGTTCATGGAGAAAGCCAGTCTCTGTCCTGTGGGGTGCAGGACAGCTATATTGGATAATAAAGGTATTACTGCTTAAACTTTAATTGCAAGTGGACTCATTCAATTCCTTAGAAGCTGGTACTGAAAAAATTGAAAAAATGAAGTTGGCTTGGGTGTGAAGCATGAACAGTGCATTCTAACAAGCAACTGCTGAATAGAGGCTGCAGAACCAGCTAGAGAATAAACAAGTTTGTCAAGGTGAATTACTGAATTCCTGTCTAAATAGTGATGTCAAGACAGACATTTGTCAGCAGTTCTGAGCCTTTTTCTCCCCTTTTGTGGATTTTCAAGCTTTATTTTTAGACGTCTGCAGTTGTGGACAATAAGGAGCTCTGCATTTATGATTCAGTGCTAATGATTAGACCCAGAGATATGCTGGCTGTGCAACCAGCCAGATGGCAAAGTCTCCATTATTCAATGGGTTATCAGGGGGTGAAGTAGGAGATCGGAATTAAGTAAGTCATGTGCAAACGTACCCAGTATGTCCTGGGAAAAACAGGAACAGGAAATTTTTGCCACAGACGTTCCAGTTTAGACATTTCAGCACTGTTAAAGAAAATGTTCACTTGTAGCTCTGTTGATACGATGAAAGACCTTTTGATATAAAAATGACGGCTCCAAAATTTCTACAATAGGGTTACATGTACCTCTGGTAGAAGTTTAGGGTTACCAAAGCAATAATTGTCAGAAGGGCTATAGTGACAGAACTTGTCCTGCTGTGTGGAGAATCCTATCGAGAGCTTCATGAGTTTTTCCTCACAAAGGTGCCCATGGTCCACAATGCATTCACCCCCAGCAGTTGTAGCAGTTGTTGTTGTGTAAGCCGAGACTGGTACCCTGGACTCCTACAGCACAGTTTGCTCTTCATTTTAGAAGGCTCATCTGCAGCTGTTGGAAAGTGCCAGAGGCCACAGATTAAGCCTTGGGTCCAACTGAACAGAATACAGTAGGATCTCTGACACTGGGCTCCATGCAGTCTTCATAATACAGCCTTCTAGTAGGTGTTAAGCACTGACTCAGCTGCACTTGTAGAAATTCCTAATGCTCACTGTGCAGTGGAACATTCAAATTTGAGTCTAACAAAAGCAAGTTCTTGTCTTGCTTTGAAAGAAATCTGTTCAGACTTGGAGACCACTGTGGTGCAGTGTTGCACTGCTGTGGGTGGAGGGGAGTTTCCACTGGGCTGTGTGCCGCTGGTGGTTTTTTTTTAAGAGGCTGCGTCCTGAGCGAGACTGGAAACGACATCATTCACTGGCTTCCTGTGTTGACAGCAGACCTCACTTGCCTTCGACAGGCTGCACGGGTCCGACTTGCCCCGATTGAAGGGGCTTATTTCCTGTCCTGGCTGGGAAGGTTGGGGGGTCGACCGTGCCACAGGAAATGCATGGGGAAAGATCTAGATGCTCACAGAGTTGAAGCTGGATTGCTGTGGCTCCTCCTGTTATTCCCAGAAACCCCTTGGTGTAGGAACACCGATAGGATCAGTGAAATGTTTTTTTATTCCCCCTCAGGGACAGAAGTATTTTTCCTGGGCAGGGCTGTCTTTAATTTTTTTTCTCCTTTCCTGAGCATATTTTTGCTTTTGGTTTGTTCATTCTCCTGTTATTTAATTAGGAGTTGCAGGATTTTTAAACTTTTAAAATTTGAAAAATGTTCGTTTTCAATTTTAAGGGCACCAAGTTTTGAATAAATTAAGAGAATCAAATTCACAAAATCCTCAAAGACAAAGTCCAGCCAGCAGATTGCTTCAGAATGAAGGGGCGAAACGCAAACTAGTAAATACATGTTAAAGTGCATTTGTAACTGAGAATGGGAGGCACTTGCTTGCCCAAAGGGTCGTGGGAATGTGGAACAAATTATCCAGCCATTTTGTTGAAGCTGATATCCTGGCTTATTTCAAGAAAGAGCTGGATGAGATCCTGAAATCAATGAATTACTGACTACCAGAAAGGTTAGAAGGGTCGAATGGCCTCCTCATTGATATGCGTTTTAATTTTGGCTTTAAAAATGTTGTTTTGAGTGCTTTTAGCCATTTAGAGCTGCATAGACTATGGTGGAGGTGTACAGCAACTCGAGTTTCTGGCATTTCCTTTAGTGAACGTCAACATTATCAATTGTACACCCGGTAACCTCAGACCTGTTCATTGAGAAATACTGCGAGTTCCCCCAAGCAATGGCATGTGATGTACTGAAACAGTCCTGAACAATAGCCCGACATGATCATTAGTACACATAATGCCACATAGACCTCACTTGAATCACTGTGCACAGAACAAAATGTACCCTGTAATTTTCCCTTTTCCTCCACAACCTCAAAAAGTCAAAACACTGAAGTGGAGAAATTTGATTTGAAAAAAAGTTAGAAATTTCTGGAAGGCTAAAGGACCACATCTGTTATGAACTATTTTTAGCTTTCCAGCACACATGACTTTCTAGTATTGGAATGCGTACCTCTTCCCGTAGCTGTTTTTTTTCCCCAGTTTTCAAAATTTGCTTTTTCTAGAGTTGTTGAAGGGTGGGGGTGAGGGGGAGAGTAAATTTATTTACTTTAAGATTCCTTTGTTGTTATTGTTAGCTTTGCTTTTAAAATCTGAGTTTCAAAACAAAAACAAGCAAATGTATCCTGGGAGCAGAGTAGCTTTGAACAAGTCCCTCGTTTGGCAGTTCCTGCTCTGCTTGGTTGACAGTAGTACTCACTGCTCCTGTTTCTGCTGCAGGTGGAGCTCGCCCTCTGGGACACAGCAGGCCAGGAAGACTATGACCGGCTCAGGCCGCTGTCTTATCCCGACACCGATGTCATCCTCATGTGCTTCTCCATCGACAGCCCTGACAGCTTAGGTAAGGGAGCAGTCGACAAAGGTGCACCTGACCTCGCGTGGGAACGGAGTCATCCAGTGAACCGGAATCCAGGGCAATTTATGCATCTGCTTTCCTTTTGATGTTATCTTGTCTTGCATCCTGTGTCATGCGCTCTTTTCTCCGTTACTTCGTCTGTTTTGGTTGTGGCCTGGTAATGACCCGTTTCTTAAAAGCACATCTGGGAAACGGAGATCTCGGCCCTGTTTTACTAAAAAATATGAAATAACAAAGTGTATTAAAATGAGCAGGTTTGACAATGGCAGCAAAATGACAGAACCCAGCCCAGGAGGATCCTACAGCCCAATTGCGTTGGCCGCTTTTGTAAATACTAGGCTCTGTAAATAGAGGTTTTTAAAATACATTCAAAATTTTATATTGTACGCTCACCTGATTTGGCTCCTAGGAGCAGCTGGCTTCACATCTCAGCTCACAACTGCAGTCCCTAGACCCACACAAGGAGAGTGAAGCTCCTCTGAATTGGAGGAAAGGTGCCACAGGATGTTGCGATATCACCCTTGTAGCTCTCATCCCCAGCCCTGCCCCTGCTAGTGCCCACTGGGGCACAGTGCAAGTCCTGGACACAGTGTGCTTGGAGCACGTGGCTGTATCGGTCAAGCCACTCAGGATCCCTGCAGTGCTTTTATAATGGGTTAGGCAATGGGGAATATATAGAGAAATTGTGTAGGCTTATTTTTTTTGTAGTACTTGCATTAATGGGGAGAAGCAGATTACAAACTGCTTTAACATTATTCATGAGGGCTTCTTCAGTCCTGACCTTCAGCTGTTGAGAAGGTAAACAGCTTATTTTGTGAAAGGTGCTTGGCTACAGTATTTGTTTTGGGGGGGGGCAGTGATTAATCACATTTCAAGCCCCGTGTGTAGGTAGCTGCTGTAGTGCCGCACACTCAGGTCTAAAACGGGCACTGCTGACTTTCTGAATCCCACCCAGTGAATGAACAGTCACGTTAATTCAAATACTTCCATCACTTTGGGAGGAACCCACATTGTTTTTTCATCTGAGAAATTGGATCAAAAACCCTGTATTATTTTTCCAGTCACTTTCACTGCAGGTATTATAAACGTATGGTATCTTTTGGGATGCACAAACCCTAACTTTTTTTTATGCAGAAAATATCCCTGAGAAGTGGACACCTGAGGTGAAGCATTTCTGTCCCAATGTCCCGATTATTCTGGTGGGAAACAAGAAGGATCTGAGGAATGACGAGCACACCAGGAGAGAGCTGGCCAAAATGAAGCAGGTAATGTTAATCAATAGTGTTCATTTCCTAGGATCCTGGAGTGTTTCCCCCATGATCCCGTCCTCCTTGGATCCCCGCTGAAGTTAGTGACGCACTAAATGCCACTATATAAAGAGGATTGAAGAGACCCACTTCACCTAGAAAACCATTTTCCTCACAGCAGACACAGCAGTCTCTCCAAGGCTTTTTTGGCATCATTGCATTTACTTCACTTTTATGTTGATGAAAGTGCCAGAGATCATGAAGCAATTCCTGCTTCCTGCAAGAGGACAGCTTCATACTCATGTAAGGAATTGGATGATGTGAAAATTTTTTAAATGCAACTTTGACTTGAAAATGTGACGTCTTTTAACCGGTGTCCTTCCTCTTTTCCCATTTTAAATTGATATTCCCTGTTCTTGCTTCTATATGGATCTGTGGTACCCATGTGTGTGGGCAAGGTTAGAGGCACAGTAAAGCCCTTGTTGCAGTGGGCTTCTGCTGTGACTGATTTATATTTTGTCCTCTGGGGATGAATGATACGCTATGGTGGGCAGTCTAAAATTGTTGCATTTGTGCTGGTTTTGGAAAACTTTTTAAAAAATGGTGTTAAGGTTGACCTGACAGCGAGTTAGAATAAGATCGGCATAGCAAAGTTGGTCGACGCCATAGAAAGACCCCAGGTTCCCTGCCCCCTGTCTAATATCAGTATACCAGAGAAGGACAGGGTGATGGTTTCTCCGCGGGAGGCAGTCCTAAGTGACGCACAGGCCCTTTGTAGAATTGTCTTGATCTTCAGCAGCCCCTCAGCACACTAAAGTCTGCATAAGTCTGCACAAGCACCAGCCTAGCTATGCCCAGTCAAACCCCTCCTGTTCCCAAGCTGCCCATTTTAATTACAGAAGGCATCTTCTCCTGCATTCTCCTTCACTAATGAATTAGTACAACTTAAAATTCTTGGGAGCCTGCTTCTGATGTACTGATGTACTAACAGGGCGAGAGGACAGTTTTCTCTGTCTACTGATTTTTAATTAATGTACAAGGCTCACGTTTTTGGTTCTGCTTTTTGTCCCTAACATGGGCACGGTAACAAGGACTTTTTAGTCGGCCTGTTCTTTTATCCAATTCAGAGGTGAATGATATGCCAGTTTTTTGTTTCAAATGTTCTCTAAATTAGTTTGACATCCTGGCCAAATTTCCCATTGGCCTTTATCAATCATGGGCTCCTAATAATCCCCATCTATGAACTGGTTTCATCACTCTGTTCTCCTGTTCTCCTCCCCACTGATAGCTGGTGTGTGGTGAGGGTACTGGTGCACTTTGGCTACTGTTGCATCATCCAGGTGGGGCTGCACATTGGTGGTGGAGGGGAGTCCCCATTACTTGTAAAGCACTTTGAGTGGAGCGTCCAGAAAAGTGCTATATAAGTGTAAGCAATTATTAATGATTACCTCGTTTACAGTGTAGTTTGACATCTCATCAATTAAACACCACTTGTTAAAGTGTTCCAGGGCTTTGGAAACTGATTTACAGACCACTTAAAAATCCTGCTGGATTGAGATTTTCCTGGATCTGGAAGGAAGACTCCTATTCTAAGGTGTACTCCAAGGCCGGGTCCATAATAATCTATCGCAAAACACCCGCATTCCTTTCATCCGTCCACTTTCTGACAACTTCTCCCAGTTCTGGGTCGTGGGGGAGCTGGAGATTTTCTCGACAAGCAACAGGTGCAACCCTGGAGAGGACACCCTGGACAGGATTCCAGCCCCTTTCAGGGCTTACCCAGTCGTAAGGTGGGTATGGGTTTATTTACTCTGTACTCTGTGATTTTCTGCTCCTGCAGGAGCCTGTGAAACCTGAGGAAGGCCGGGACATGGCGAATAGAATCAGTGCCTTCGGATACCTGGAGTGCTCAGCCAAAACTAAGGATGGAGTGCGAGAGGTGTTCGAGATGGCCACCAGGGCGGCGCTGCAGGTCCGGAAACGCAAGAAGAGGAGCACCTGCCTGCTTTTGTGAGCGGAAGAGGAGGAAGAGACCCACCTTGAGAGCGAGCAAACTGAGGACCGAGAGGAAAAACCTTTACCAAACGCCATCTTGTACTGTATTCTCACATTTCACAAAAGTTGGAGGAGAAACTACAAAAATAAGACTGGGCTGGAACACGGGTTAGAAACAGATTTTTTTAACTTGCCTTTATTTTTTTTGGCACTAAAGGGTCTTTGTTTTTGTTATTTTCACCAGCATATTTGTAAGATGAGGAAAAATAAATTCACATGTATATGTATATGCATATACATACTTCAGTCTCTCCTTCTGTCTCCCCCCCCACCCCAAAGTGTTTGGGCTTTTTGTATTGTACGGTGTTTTGCCTTCAAGTAATTGTATTTATTGTTTTTTTTGGGGGGTGGGGGTTGTGGATCAGGCTTTTAGAATGAGCCACCCAAAGTCAAGTTTCCCTTTAAAAAAATAAGTCCTACAGATCTCCCAACATTAGCAGGAAAACTGGTCTCGTCATTTTTCAGCGAAATTGCCCTGGTTTTCAATTGTACATCCAGGTTTCTGTGCCTCTGTGTAAATGTAGTGCCATGTAAAAGTTTTGTAAGTCTTTGAATTAGCATGGAGTCTGCAGTTTTTTTTAACATTCTTAAAAGGCCAACAAGATCCTAGCTAGGTTACACTCCCTTCCGCCTACCGATGTCTTTAGTTTCAGCTGCTGTCATTTGTGCAGCATGGTCTTTGCTGCTGAAGAGGAAGTGAGATTATTGAGGACACGTGGGATTTTGTTCTTTTCACTTGGAAAGAGAAGTGAACATTGAAGTGAGTCTGCAGACTCGCATGTTCCTTAAAAAAATTACATGTTCAGAGTGTTACTGTGAAATTGGTAAACCTTCTGTTTTATTAAACCCTCACCTCCTGGTTTGAGGTCTGTCTTACAGCTGTGACCCTGTGAGTGAGCTCCACAAAGCCCACAGGAGAGGTGCTGTCAGTCAGAGGAGAGGCACAGGTCTCACTGACAGCACTGCTAGCTCACAGAGGGACAGATGTACGCTATGTCGAACCAGCTCTAGTGGTTCAAGGCCAGCTGTACGTCTGGGACAGAGCACAAGTCAGCAAATGAAATGGCTGTGATTTTGGGACTATACTTTGTGTACACTAAAGCAGTTCAAAAACATTTGAAGCAAGCCAGATAGCTGCAAAATGAGCCCTGTCATCTGTTTATGTAACTAAATCAAATTCAACACTAATCCATGTGCCTTTGACAGCCTGACGTTCGTTTTCCCCATGACGGGACCGAGAGCTTGCCAACTTTAAAAAGGTTAGCAGTGTGGTAATCTTCACACTCTTCTTTCCCAGAGGTGAGCTGTACTAGAACTGGTTGACAGCTTGGACTGCCCTGGGAGACATGACCCCCAAGGTCTTTTCAATTTCCATGCAACTTTCAGGTCCAAAATGCACACTCAAGTGATGCTGTGAGCAGAACACGGAGACATGGATCAGTTCACGAAAGGCAGGCATGCAGCAGTGAAGTACTTGACTAAACACTGATTTGCAATGACGTGCCAAACAGAGGTTCGACAGGTAGGTCCAGTTGAGTTTTTTTTTTTTTAATCAAGCTTGGATAAGAAAAGCCTTTACTTCACTAGTCCATTTCTCAACCAGGAATGGAGAAAGGGTTTGCTAAATGGCAGTAGATGACCAGATAACCAAGATCACTACACCTGCCCCCTTTTGCTTCCAGTTTAGCTGCGTGTACTGTGGCAACGCCTGCCAGTAATGAGTGCCTTTTTTTGAACACAGCTCGCCATGCGTTTGGTTGTACTCTAGGGCATTTTTCTTTAGTCCTTTGTGCCTTCATTTTTCCTGTTGAGTGTTTGCACAGAGATGGATACGAGGAAAGTGTATCAACGAGAGCTGAACCACGAATTTCAATATTGAGGTCATGTGCTCATTCTAAAATGAAAGCTAATTTTGCAGCAATAAATTAGAGGTAAATTTCTCAAGCAGACTGAAAGTTTTTGGAGAGTTTTTGACATTGAACAAAAAAAGGCCGAGCTGTTGCAACTACTGCCAGCCCCTCATCGGATGACATCTGTTGCTCTTTCCAAGAACATGGAATGGATTTCATTAACAAAGCATGTTTTTACTGCAGACAAACCTTTCCCCATGAAGTTTGTGTTTGAAGGAATCAAGACAGTAGCCAGTTTGCATTTTTAATACTGTACCATGTAGAGATGCTCTTTTATTCTTCAATCAGAAATTGCTAGGTAACAACCAATTTCTGCAGCAGGAGCAGAGCCATATGAGACTGAGGAAAGATGAGATGGCTCTGTGGACCCCAGCTGTCCTGTTTTGGTGAGAGTTGGCAAACGCTCGCAGAGTCTTCTTCATACATGCACATTGCTGCTGTCAAGGCCCGAGAATCCCCGAGCTTTATTTTGTGATTAAGCAGACTTGTGCAGCTTCTAGCTGGGCAGTGAACACTTCTGACTACCCCTAGTGAACCTCAAGCTCCCCTAGCCCAACTATTGAGTCTGGACAGATTTTCTATGTTTGCTAAATTTCTCCAGGAATTGAGGCCAGAGATAATTTGTTTTGAATTGTATACTTTATTTTAAATGTAAAAAAGCATGCAATCAATATTTTCCCCTAGCCTTGCCTTCTTTGTAGTGTTATTGCTGTTTAGTGTTTTAGACTTAAGACCTCTAACCCAAGATGGCCAGTGGCAAGAAAATCTGAGATGGAAATACCATTTTAGGTGTGAATGATGGAAACCGTACTCGCAGGCAAAGCTCTTGTTAGAGTAGAAAGCAAGCCTTTGCCAAGCCTTTCGAAATGTCAATGTAAATCAATTCATCCGAGAAGCACGGGAAGATTTTAAACCCTCTTCAGTTTAAGAATTATGGATCTAGATGATCTCTCTATTGTAAGATGCCCTTGTCTTACAAATTTTATAATTGCCTTGTTTTCTGTGTGCTTTGCTCTTGTGGATTTGTTTTTACTGTATCTCTCCACAATCAGGGCCAGTTTCTTTTTTGAATGTATACATGCTCAGAGCAGCATGCTTTGTTGGTTTGGGGCTGAAATTCAAGGGTAACCATACATATAATAAAAAATGTTAAACTTTCTGTTAAATTGCTGTACAAGGATAAAGATTTTTTCTAGGTAGTTCTTTAATCTTAAGTATACAATTGGAAGACCACACGCATTAAGGAGCCCACCTGGAATATGAGCTGAACTCTGTCGCTCAGCTTGTCGAGTCCTGCTGTTTTGACCAGCCAGCTTGTTCTGTCTTGGCTACCAGTGATCGCATCTTGGGGATTTAGTTTCCATGCTGTTAGCGAGGGGTGCAGCACCCCCCAGCGAGGCATCCTGGAGCATGCAGAGGTCAGGCAGAGGGTGTGTTGGCAGTCTTTACTCTCTCAGTACAGTCCAGGAGTCACCGACGCAAAAGCCTAGTCTTGAAATGGCTAACGTAGCCAAATCAGCTGGATATATAACAAAGGCAGGTTTTACCTGTGAAATGTTGCTTGGGTGGGGATGGGGGCTGTGGTATAGCTTCCTAGGAGTTCTTCAGTATTCTTCATTTCTGCTCCCAATACTAGGTTTCTATCCAACATGGTTAACAGGCGTCTTTTCCTATTCCCAAGATCAGGTGGGATGGAGTACATAAGTTGCCATGTAAAAGTTGCACAACAGAATCTGTGTACACATGTGTTGATTAATTCCTAAAATGGCCAGGTATCTGATGCTTTGTTCAATTAGTGTAGAAGTGGTTTTCTTTAAAAGATTAATACTAGAAAGCACTATTTTGTTATGCCAGATCTTCCTTGTAATTTCCATTGCATTTCTCTTTCCATTCCTTATGTGGAAGTGGAGGTGGAGAGTGGGTGATACTTCATGCTTCCAGAAGACACAAAAACGGCAGTGGTGGGATTAATGCTGCTAGAGCCTTTCTATTGGTCTGCCTACAGATAGTGCTGCTCTCTGCTTTGCTCTGAACTCTGCCTTGAGCTTGTTAATGTGTGATAATGCACTGCTTAGTCTAATGATTTAGTGGAATATGTAGACTATAGATTTTTTTGTATGTACGTGTACTTATATATGGTTTCATGAAAGGGTGCTGTCTGAAGTACTGGTAACACTTTAAAATGTCCACACAGTTTTTTTGACTATTGCTCAACTCTCACCAGTTTCTTAAATTCTAGGAATAACCAGCAGTAGACCTCGATTCAACAGAAATACTAATAGCAGAGGGATATGTTGTCTAAGAAAACATTAGTGCTGCGAATTGTAAGTGAGGAAGGGGCCAAATTCATTTTCTGCATTGATACAGTCTAAGTATTAAGAGGCTGTTTCTATTTGTTTTAACACCTGCTTCTTAATATGAGTAGAGAAGTTTGATTGCACTTCTTTGGAGTTGATGAAACGGTCTCGGTTTGTGCATTTCTTTATGGAGCTGACTACAAGACATGGTCTAATGCGAAGACCTCTATTCTTAAATATTCTAAGAGAAAAAACAAGAGGTATGGAATATTTATCTGAGGGGGGATACTAAGTTGACTGGAGATGCAAAACAAGATTTCAATTTGGATATAAATAAAACATTGAGATGAACGATTTGTTTCTGCACCCTTTTTTTAAAATCAATGTAGTGATGTTGATCTTGCTGATAAAAAGTTAAACCCAAGGAAAATTTAAGTATTGTAGGGTGGTTATTCAGGTCCCAGCTATGAACCTAAAAGGTATTTCAGCTATTATCTGAGAAACATTCGACTTCAAGCTTAGTGACTTCAGCAACACCAGTTAACTAGTGAGACTTTGGGGGAAATAAACACTGATCCCATAGTTAAGCAAATTGCTGTACTGACTCATGTCACTTGAGTGAGTTATAGTACTTTTTCTGTTTTTTTCCAGTCAAACCCTCACTTCCATGCTTCTAGGCCAATTAATGAGGGACTCTAACATCTGTACTTTGAATCAAGCACATCTTAAAATGGACTACTTCTGTCACAGCCATGGCCATATGGCTGTGGAGCATGTATACATTTAAAACTGTTTGCTGTGTGATTTCTATACTCCAGATCTTTATAGAAATTGTTTTGTATATGTCATTGTCTGCATGAGCAAAACCAATTTGTTCATTCCCATTGCAGATGGGCATACTCTGGGAACAACTTTTTTTTCTGTTCTGGAAAATGAATAATGCTGATTTCTATAAGAGCTGATTTGTCATTATGCTTTGTAAACAGGATATAAATGTTGTAGTAAATGTTCCAATAAAGTGAACACAACCCATGTTAATAAACTTATTTTTGAAATTGGAATGGTGTGCCCATACCCCCCTGCCTTTTCTGCCTGGTGGAAAAAGTAGTGCTTTAATCAAACCACTCTTTAAACAGAATGGTGAGAACAGTTTTGTGATTGAAACAGGTAAGTCAAGTATTCAGCTTCTGATTTTTTTTTTTAAGTGCAGCTAAATCGTGATGAACTTACATGGTTGACTTTAAAGTGAAGACCTGGGTTTAGGACTTCCATGCCAAGGAGAGGCACTTGCTTGGCCTGGGGCCAGTAGCACCAGCTGGCTGGAGAGGGCTTGAAGCAAGCCAGAGTCTTCCTGCAGACTGGTAAAAAGGGTGTAGGCTACTGGTGACTTGAGTAAGAGATGCACAGCTACTCCACTCAACGCTGCCTCTCTAAGAAGGTATGAGTATTGGGGAAGTGTGTTTTGTAGTAGCTTGGATTAAATTTCTTGAAGTGAGGTTACAGGACCCCTTCCCCTGAAGTAAAAATACAGCTTTATTAAAACATTGTTTTCCTTCTGCTGTGTGTACATTTTCCTTGGATAAGTGTCCAACTACCATTCCTTTACATGTTCCAATCTAAAAATGAATGTAGAGATTACAAGTTGCTAGACTTCCTCTCCACAGCAGGACAGGAGCTTGTGTTATAATGTACTTATTCTGTGTCCTAACTCTGCATGTCTGACATGGAGCTGATAAAATAATCCAAAACCTTTATGCCAAACAAACTGCAGCTGTAGTTCTGTACAAGGGCCAAATGTCATTTTATTCATCTAACAAAAGGGAATATTTAAAACCAGCTTTCTGCTGTTCACCCTTTCCACCAAACTGAGGCAACATGCATTGTAGGCAGTTTCAGACCCATTACACACAAACCATTTGACAGTCATGCCATACTAGACTGTGTGATTTGTCCTTTTTCAAAATGTTGAGCAAAATAGTTAATTATAAAACCTTTAACTTCCACCATGAAAAATATAATTTTGATGTGTCTACTGGAAACACTACTACAGGAGCCGATTCCTGAACTAACAAGCCTGTAGGTGTGCTGAGGAGTTGCATCCTGTTATTGCTTCCACAGCACAACTGATTCCTACAGGGCTGCATCTAATAAAGTTCAGACTGCGAAGAAATTACTTTTATCTTGATAAAATATCTTAACCATGCAGGAACCAAAAATGTATTATAAAGGTTAAGAGCAGGCATCAGCTATGTATAAAAGATTGTTTGCTTTACTTCACAGTGAACAGTACTTGAGATAGAGGGAAGGTTGTGGAGTAAAATAACCTAAAATTAAATCCTACGTCCATGAGAGAGATTGTAAACGAGAGGAGCCCATTCAGCCCATCTTGCTTGTTTGGATACTCATAGCTAATTGATCTAAGTATCTCTAAGAAATTTAAGGATTTCTCTAAGAAACAAAGCTGGGCTGCCCTAGACCTACTGTGTAAAAAAGGGGTCTGTTACTTTCACCTTTAAATGCACCTTGCATGATTTAGTATGAGGGATAACTAAAATACTTCCCTCTATTTAAATGGATAAGTAAATTCAAGTAAGCCACTCGCATCCAAAACATCTAATATTACTTTAATGGACTATTGTCCTGTTACCTTAGATTTTCAATTTTTTGTAATCTGTAAAGTAGTAGTTTTCAACAATAACACTCCTTATAGTATAAGAATTGTGCTGGCAGAACTGGGAATGTAAAAAAAGTTTTAACTTGAGCCACTAAGAAATACAGTATTAATTAAAACCAGTACCACCATAAATTGAATCCAGTTTTCTTATAAAAACTGGTCAGTGGCAGTCTTCAACATAGGTAGCAACATATGTATTACTATAAATTAATCCTCTTTAAAATGTGTTACTAAGCGAGACATCCTGAAATGCTGTAGCTGCTGCTGAGAACTCTTACTAAATTTAATTCTCCAGTAACACATCAGAGGATATAACCTTCATCATTAGAAGATGCAGGCAGTGGTCAGTATTATAATAAAACTCACTACAAATTTCCTTTATTGCCTAAAATCTATGTTCTAATCCTTCACTGATTTTACCCTAGTTAGAGTCGAGTACAAATTAATACCTTTTAAGTTTGCTATTAAAGTAAGGCCATGCTGAACATCAGGGTAAACCAGCTTTCTTAAATGCTGCACTTTAATTCAAACATTTAGACTGCATCTTTAAATTAGTCAGTTTCCTGACCACTTTTAATTCAAAGTCCTTTCCGTTTCAACATTCTGTATCACACAACCTTAAAATACTAACAAAAACATCAAATAAGCCCCAATGAGATATCTCTAAGTGCAAATTAATTTGTAAATTTCCCATTTATACCTGTTAGGTTATACAATAAGTTACAAGGCCTGGACATGGAACACACCAGGTTATAACTGGGAAATCTAAAAACTTAACTCAATTCAACATGCCTGTGTCTGTCTAGTTTAAAGGCATACACCTTACGAAGTATACTGGTCTGGAAAAGGACTTAAAACCAGTTGTGTTCAATGCTTCTTTCATTAATACAGAGCCAGCCTGTTCTCTGATTGGCAGCAGGCATGTAAACAGTGCTTTGTAAAATACATCCTTGTACACAAAAGGAGAAAATTGCCAACCAGTGCATCTGTATAACACTGGGACTTTATAGCGTTCTTCCAAATTGCTACAAGAAACCTCTGTATTAAATCAATACTAGATTCAGCCGAGTAAGGCACTTAATGTGGCAAAAGCTTCAAATGCAATGGTAACTTTTCAGTCTAACTTCAACATGATTTTTAGTTATTAAAACTCACTTTGTGTCAGAAGTTGCAAAGGACGAGGCGCACGTGAATTTTCCTTTTTAAAGGGTGAATCACACTACAGGATTTATTCTAAGTTTTTCTTAAAAGGATAAGGATTTCCAAAAAAGGGAAATCCTTATGATCTGATGACAACTTCCATACTTGAGCATAATCAATAAATCGGGATGATAGTCCAGTGGAAAAATATAGATTGTCATTCTTGAGGGCTGAGTATTGAGAGGATGCAACAATGTATTACTCTTAGTGATAATTATTAGAGTAAAAACCTGTGGTTTGGAAAAACGATGCTTCTAACTCATATTCTGCTATAGTTCCAGGCAGTATCTTTATATTTCCTGTGCTACTTATTGTAAAGGGCGGGAAACAGCTGCTCTGGCAGAACAAGAGGCTCCTGCACTGACGATGCGGCTGCCTGTGAAACTACCCAATAATGTTTTAGAGCAAACACTGCAGTGTGATCCACTCTTACGTCCGAAAATAAATGCAGGTTAAGGCACTCTCATTCACGTGGGGTATACAGCTGGTGAGATAGGGAATTTAGAAATGGTCCAGTTGATCGTATAGGGTAGGAAAAACAAAACATTTCCTGTGAATTAAGTGCCTTTCCACTGTGCGGAACAGATGGGATTCCTTCATTGTCATCAATTACAGTAATAAATTGATTGCCATGGATAATGTCCTCTGCTGTTAACGGATGCCTGCGTCTGTTCTTGTTAAACAGTTGCATCGTACAGCTGTTTGTAGATGTTTCTCCATCTACATTAATGCTAATGCCTCATGGATCACAGATAAGGAAAAATAAATTACGTTCAATTCTTTCTGGTGCAGTTCACTGTTCTGGGCGTCGGCGAATGTCTCCGTCACATGTCGCTTCTCCACTCAGGCTCCAGCTGCTGCTGCACTACGCTCTCCTCTGAGACCACTGGGGAAGAGCGGAGACGCAGAAGCACACAGGGACACAGGGACGGCGGTTAGTCTGCAACAGGCCCCGATATTCATAATAACACTGAGAAACATTTTGAAAGAAGCGTCTAAAAAAATTGAACCTGCTGCTTTTGACCGAAATTCGGCCCTGCCTTCATTTCTATCCAAGTGGGGGAAAACCCACGACCAGACTTTAATTTCAGGTGGCTTGATGGGTGAGGGTGAGGAGTGACAGGTGGGTGGAAGAAGAGTGGAGGGTGAGAGGGTGAGTATGTTCATCTTGGATGAAAATAAAATGAGGATTTCAATCGTATGTCACATCCAATCTGCAATGCATGTGCTTATATCAGCAAGTTCACATCACAGTTAATTTCTACATTTTAAGAAATTATTGGCAGTATTTTCACCCAGATTCATGGCCATATTTGTAACATTTACAGATTTACAGGCAATTTGGACTTTTAACTACAGTCTGTAGATTTAATGAGTTATCAATCCTGGTGTTAATTAACACCACCTGCCTGTTCTAGAGGGCTTTCATAACCTCTTCACACCACAGATCACAACTCAATGTACCATCCTGTGAATGAAATCTGATTTGACCTCCTTCCTAATTTTTGGCATTTTTATTAAGTGCTTTAAGGTCAGTCTTTTCTTGTCTTTTTACTATATTCTGGAGTCTCCAGATGGCTCACTTTGACCCAGGTGCATTTATAAATGTGTTTATGCTTTATGAGGCAACTTCATAATGTAGAGGAACAAAATATTGATGAAAGAAATCCAGAAATCAGTGAACACTTAAATAATTTTGTATGTTGATTCAATGCATTCAAATCATATTCAAACAAGTATTAAAATAAAGGCGTATTTGTAAACAGCTTCTTTTGAGGTAGTCAGGTAAAATAACTTCTGGCATCACTCATAACAACACTGTAATCGGAAACTTAATGTTTTCATTTAAGCCGTAAGAATGCCAATCTGATAAACAAAATAAAGAGAGATTACACCCCACTGCTGGATGATTACCTGGAGACTCAGCGCTAAGATCCAGAGAAGCCAGCCGTGTCATAAGTTCATCCTCCCCCTCATCATTGGAGAAGTCGTAGCCCGTGTACCCTCGCTCACTTGTGCAGTACCTGAGAAACCTAGAGTGATACAATACTGTACATGAACACGCATGATCTTCTCTGACACCTCCTGCTGCCTCTGTGCTTTACCAGAGCAAAACAGGACAATCACAGGGAATGTTAAAAACCTCATACATCTCAAAATGATTTCTAGTAATGCTTTTTGAAAATGAAATGGTGCAAGAGCTGTGGTTGGACCGTACCCTATAAACGGACTGAAAATCAAGCACTTCTCAGAAGAGCTTAAGTTAAGGCCTAGTATGTCTTTGGCTCTGGACTGCACTATTGTACGAAGGGATAATCTGGATAGTCCACTGACGGCCTTTCACCATGTAGGCCAGAGCAGAAGGGATGCTAGATGTTGCAAGTGCAGAATTGATCACCACTGGTCCTCAATATCCACTGACCAGCAGTTCTTATAAGTCAGCCTTTAATCATGAGTTATAATATAACTGAAGTTATTGTATCAAGACTATCGTCAATGTATACAAAGAGAGGAACAGTGACTCAGTGTAAAGTACTGCACCATGTCTTACAAATAGCCATAGCCATAGCCATAGAAATGGATCCAGCCAACTGCAAGCAAATTATAATGAATGGGTTTAATGAATGGGTTCAATATCACAGTGAAGGTGTTGTAAGGACCATGGAGTGAATTGGAAATGCACACTGAAAGACCACATGATTAAGTGAATGAGAAAATACAAACCCTGCAGCCCTATATATGATCATGAAACTCATGTAGTTGCCCCACAGTCAGGCCTCAGCAAGACAAATACAGGCCTGTGTTTGACAACATATGCCCATAGCGGCCTTACCGTCCCCAGGTGGGGTCCTTGCTGAGGATGACAGGGTTCCCCACCACAATGAGCAGAGCCTTGGCTCGGGTCATCGCCACATTGAACCTCTGGGGAGAGACAACCAGCCACAGTCAACACTGCCCAACTGGGAACGCACTGTTTTACTGTCATACTAGGAGCCTCCGACAGGTGTATGTGTGAGATTGAACAGAAAGGTGTCCTGACTGAAATTTGCAGCGATTATTTGTTAGATCCCCCATCCCTGCTTCATTAGCAATATCTACAATGTTTTTATGGAAATTTGTGACTCGCCAACAAGACCGCTCACAAACAGCTGTGTAAGAATGTATTTCGTTAAGGACAGACTGCCTTCTTTCAGCTCCATCTCTCTGAACCTATGTACTTTAAGCATTACATTTCTGAAGCTAAGGATTGAGTGAAGAAAATATTTTAAAAAGTTCAATTAAAGAAAAGTTAAAACATTAAAGTGAAAAAATCCTGGGTTACGATTGAGCCAAGGAAGAGCCACTCGTTACCTTCTCGTTCTTAAGGAATCCCAAGCTAAAGTCCTCGTCCATTTTGACATAGGTTAGGCTACTGCGTACAGCGGACACGATGATCACCCGCCGTTCCTGGCCCTGGAATTCCTCCACGGAGCCCACCTGCCAACATGTCACAGGACACACTCAAGTTCATGAAAGCACGAGCTTTTGTCCGCCTCTGCGTGCTACAGCCCAGACCAGCAGACTGGGGAAATCTACAAAGACCTGTTACAGATCACGTCAGGGGATTCTGGAAACCGAAGCATTACGCATCACCAGGTGTTGCACAGTTGACAGTTGTGGAGGGGTGGTAGTTTCAGACAAGATGGAGGTCAGAATGCTTTGGGGGAAAGGAGCTGCTGCCCTCAGTCACCTGACCTCTTCTGAGAGTTAAAGAGAGAGTTAAAAAAATGGGAAATGTTTTAGAGAATCTCTGTAAGAGTGACAGAGAAATAGACATTTGAGAACTGTTTTGTGAAGCCGGGAGGCACCTTAGTTGCCAGTTATGTTAGTTAGGGACTTAGAATAAGTCTTGATACCAGTTCAAAGAGAAGCTTAGGCTTTTGTTTTGGTGCGTTTTAGATTATGTTTCCCTGTATTGGTAATAAATCGCACTGTTTTGTACCTTACGGCTGCATTTTTGACAGTTTTCTCGGCCCACCCATGTAAAAGTCAGCTAGGGCACATTAACCTTGGTGTATCACACATAATTGAGCAAATTAATTAATTTCATCCACAGTTGAACTCTTTCCATGTTTACCAGCCTGCGTCTCTGATGACTAGGTCACGTGCCCGAGGTCGTTGTCTGTTTGACATCACTCGCTGTTCGTGTGTGGTTCCCAGTCCTGTCCTCTTGACCCCCACACCCGTTGGTTATTGTCCCACCTGAGCCCTCACTGACACCATCAAACCCTTCACTCATTTAATCATCTAAAATTAATCTGAACTGTTTGTTCCCAGCTCTTAAACATAGTGGAGCTTTAACCCTTGCACTTTGTAAGTGAAATAAAATCCCACACTTGTGACTAAAAACAAAATGTAAGTATTCAACTGAAGCAACTTCTTAGTAAGGCTTTCATTATCTAACAAAGTTAGCCACGATTAGGAACCACTTGTTTAGAGGTAAGGATTTCTTTAGCAGCATGTAGTGTAGTGAACGTGGAGAATTCATTAACTTCTTAAGGTGTAATGCACACATTTTCAGAGTACAGCTTCAGATAAATTCCTTGAACAAGCCCTTGCTGCATTACACACTACAGACAGGTGCAGGGACTTAAAATCAAGGCAGAAAAAAGCACCAGTAGCAAGGAGCAGCAGGATCCAGAAACTCTTAAGAAACAGCTACACACGAGCTAAACAGCGAACACGTTGTTCTTACTCAGCAGTGATTCAAAGCTCTTTAGATGGGCATGTACTGCATGTGTCCCACACCTGAGCTTTATCCTGCACTTTAATCCTGTTTATCTGCAACATTCAAAATAAACATCCTATTTTCAAAGAACACTTAAATGAAAGATTGACCACTGCTTCTCTGAACATACCTTCAGTTCCTTGATGTCATTCAGATTCTTAAGATCTTGGTCAACAGAGTAAATGGCTTTCTTGATCTTTTCCACCTACGAGCAAAGGAAAAGAGAAAAATCTGAGTTTGTCTTTATAAAGAAGAGGAGGTTAGCTCAAACTGTAATGGGCTTTGGAAGATGCTGTCAAGATACTGAGCACCTTGTATTAAGCAAAACTACAGATATCTTGACAGAACAGTTCCAGAGCATAAGGAAGGAAGATCTGAAGAAACAGTCACAGAACTTAATTTATTCAAAATCTGTAAATTCATATCTCTATGAATTATATATACAAACATATACATAATTTATAACTATATATAAATGTTAAGTAGTTAATCTAAACTAAATTCAATGTAAGTGGATAGAACGTCAGGAGACAGAAGGTGATATATTTCTGAAAGTAAATGCCACAAAAAATCATGCAAAACATGTCTTAGACCATTACCAACAGAAGAGCTCAACACTAAGTCATTAAAAGCAAGCATGAGGGTGTGGGAACATATTAGGTTGTGATTATTATGCTTCCTGTTGGTTAATTTCTGTAAGTTATGCAATTTATTTCCTGGGTCACAACATTAATCTTGTTCGCAGACATGTTTAAAAAAGATTAGTGGTGGGTAAAATGAAACTAGGTCAAATGTTTAATAATTGAATTTGTAGAGCTTTGAAACACAAACTCCCGGTTTCTCTGGCCTCTGAAAATATACTGATGGAAAAAAGAAACACAACACCTCCTCCTCCACACCCTGGCCCTCCCGTGTGCGTGGAACAGGCTAAAGAGTGACTCATCCATGAAGAAGACCTGATTCCACTGCTGATGGGTGTCGCCTTTTCTTGCAATGACCTAAGCTTTGAATTAAGGCCTTTTTAAAGGTGACCTGATCAGGCATTGTTCCACCTGGACCTCGTTGGGAAAAAGTGCACCTAATGAGCTTTCATGTTTTTATACCATTAAAATATTGTATCAGTTAAGTTTTGACACCCACACTCAGCATTAAACTTAGTACAACCATTTTTTAATGGTGAAAAATTAAAGGTGAAATACTAGCCTGTAATATCAACCTGCTTTGAAAAGCTGGGTGCATAGGTTTTTGAAGCTTTGAAGGAAAGTTCTAAAAGACTAATACAGTATGTCTGAACAACGAGTAATTAGACTTAAAATTCTATATCCATGATATGCATAAATCCCAGAGAGGGGCTGGATGGATTGTCAAAAGACCCTTATGAGGAGACCACATACACACAGTTCTTACTCCATCCAGTAATCTGCATTTGAGTCTGGGATTCTGCACATCCCTTCCTAAATCAATAGCTACTTACTGTAGATCTTACAAACGTTTCCAAGAAACCTTAATATTATTTACAATGTGTTCAGTATATTTAAGAGTTTGTAATGATAATTAGGATAGCACATGATTAGTACAGTATAGTATAGACTGCAGGTGGGGACCTACTGTATATCCCACTGAAGTGCAGTGCCCACCTGGGTGATGTGTGATGCGTGACACAGCAGATCAAGAGTAGAAGAGAGACACTTCTCACCAATTGAATTCGGGGAGAAAGTTACAGAGGGCAGATCATGAACTCCCAGAATGGAATTTAACCAGGATAACAAGGTAAACACCCTGGCTTTTACTAACAGGCAAAAGAACTTCAAAGACCAAAAAGTCAGCATCTTGGTTTAGGTCATCTGAAAGATAACACCTCCTGCTGCACAGTGTCCATAATCACCGTTATGGGGCACTGGTTTGGATTATACAACCAGAGGACAGTACACCACATACTGGTCAATCAGCATAGCTTACACAAGAAAACCTATTTATCTTTAACCCATTCAAGGCATTTTCCATTCTAGTACTAAGCAACACTGGGCTTGGTCAGATCCTGATATCTTAGGTATTTGTTCAGCCACAAACAAAAGATGTAGAGAAACTTAATTTGTATTCAGTGTTAAAGAAGTGAAAACAACTTTCCTACTAAGTACCCTGACAGGAAGTAGGTATTGTTGCTAATAGTGCAACATGAGGTTTCTTACATTTGTTGTATGCAGTGATCACTTGTTTACATCTGTAAAGCAATACAATGCCTTTAAAATGTGCATTTTAGTTACAAAAACAAACTAACGTATATTTATTAGGAGAGTATGCAACGGTGATTAGTGTACTTGTTCAGGAGAGAATAAGGTACATGTATGTGTTCCTCTAACATACGCACCTTAGGAGTCATTCTACATTTAATCCATAACAAGCTTCACAGTGCCTGACAAGAAGTAGTGATCACTTCACTGACTTCACTGAAAGGCTAGTTACCCAGCATGCTCCAGGCACCACTCTTGGCCGGAAGCATCTGTGTCCCAATCAGAGACATGACCCAGGAACACACATACATTGTCTGAGCCAAAAGAGCTCCAATCAAGTGCTTTAGTAGCTGAGCCACTTGGGAACTTGAATGTATCTTTAATATCTTTAATACTGTTCCAATCAACAGAAATTCTAGGACTCTTGGAAACATCACATTTTATAATAAACCTTGACTCAAAGAGGAGTTGGAAAAAAACCTTTCCTAATGGGTCAAAAAGTTAAGATTGGGCTACATCAATTTACCAACAAAACTTTCAATGCAGCACTGTTCACAGTTACAGAGCTGTGTAGCATGTCCACCACAGACCTCGCACTTACTGTACCTGCTTTCTGTAGGGGGCGATGATGCCAATGTCCTTGGGAGAGATGATGGTTGTACCCTTCTTGCCCCGAATCGGCAGCAGCTTCTTGAGGTAGAAGATGACAATGTCCATCTCTGCCACATTGAAGAATGATGGGCTATTCCCCTCCCGGTCGTCTTTGCCCAGTACACCATGGAATATAATGGGAAAGCCCTGAAATGAAGAAAGACTTAACTTACCGAGACTCAACACTTCAGTGAATGCATTTATCTCCAATACTGACTCTGGGAATTCCAGGTTTTCTTCTTTTAACCAACTCTCCATTCTTACTGTTCCAAATATTTGGCTTACTAGTATTCTAGAATTCATCACCATGGCTTAACATTAAAAACCCTTGAGATGTGTTCTTTATCTACATCTCCCAACCTGCTCCTCCTTGGCAGGAACCTAAATTACAGCTCAGGATGGAAAACTGTAACCAAAAGTATAGCCCAGGGTGCATGTATTGGGTTTCGGTTCGATATCTGTACAGCTCTGCCATCTAGAGGACTCAAATAAAAATGCACTATGCCTACAAGTTCTAATTGGCCACATGGCCTGTTGTAGTAGTCTTCGCAAAGGTTAGTGTTTGAAATGTTGCGTGTTGTTCTAAGAAAAAATCTAAAAGGTCAGAAGAGAGATGGGGAATTGTTGCCTGGAATATGGTGTTGGACTTTTCTTACAAGACTAAAAATCTTGCATTTGTTAGTCACAGCATAATAAGAGTAATAAAAACACTCAACTGCACAACTGTAAAGAGTGGTTTACAGCAACTGCAGTTATTGCTTCAAATTTAAAACAAACTACCAAATTTTTCTCCTACCAAACCTTGGAAAAAAACACTGACAACACTAGTCTTCCATTATTCAGTGATGAGAATTGTGTAAGATCTTCCCCAATTTGATTTGCAGCCTGGCTTCCAAACGTGGGCTTCTATGTTGTCAGAGTGCCAACAGTACATTTTCACTACATTCATTTTTTGAATAAATTTACTACTTATTGGGATTGTAGCTTTGGAAACTGATACTGTGATATGAAGCACAAATAAAATGACAAGGTCAGTGGGGCAGAATGCCTTCATTATAACAATTTCATAATTATTTATACAATATACAGTCTAACTTAGCCTCTTATACATGAATCGCCAAACTGTGACATCGGAACAATTCACACAATTTACCTATGCTGATTAAGCGTGCACTGAATCCTAACAATGGCTTGAGTTCCGAACAGATCTACGGGTAATGCAAGTTTCACTTCTGAATTGTATAATTATATCAAGTGTTTTGCAGTTTATCGATCTTAAGGCACAGCTGAATTTTCACTCCCAGCAAGAAACCTTGTACCACATCCTAGTTATCTAATCTGCCAGTAACGGTGCCTTTAATTGCTGATTCTTTACGTTGCACAATGGAGAGATAAGTGAATTAGAAAATTCAAGTGTCCCAAATTCATGAGAAAAAAATGACTGTGTATTTATGGATAAAACAGGAAAAAAATGGAAATTACATTTCACAGCAAATGGGAATTATGTTTTTTTCTGTTTGGGCTGAGCTGATCTCTGCCGCAGAGCTCAGCGAGTTCAACAGCAGGCTTCCTTGACCCAGAATGTAGGTGATAATTACAAAATTCAATTAAACACCTCGAGAAGAACAGAGAGGCTAATCCCTGAGGCTCAAATGAACAAGACTACCCCACAGCCATGAGAATAGCTCTGTTTTTGTTTTTTTGAGAGAGACAAGAGCACCTTCTGCTATACTGCACTAGTCGTGGAAATGCATTTAGAACTAAGAAAAGGAGGTATTATTTCACCTAAAGTATTATGGGAGACTCATAAAGGTACTCAGTTGTTAAAGCTGACATCCGGGGTTCTTTCGAGAAATGGCTAAATGAGATCCCCAAAATCCCAGAGATGCCTAATCAACAAATCCCAATCCTGCAATTGGCAATGCCCAGCCAATTAGACCCCATCACTTTGTGAATCCCGGGTCACACAGACTCAAATTCCAGTCCTGCCTTGGGCCCCACTGAAGCTCAATCTGCACACCTTCACCAGCCGAGCCACGCAGGAGGCTTGGTGCTGTGGTTTTAAAAGAGACGCCTGCTTTACTGGGCAGAGTGACCTCTGAGCTCCCCGTCTCTGTGTGCTGCAACACCCCTCCCTGCTCTCACCTGCTCTGGGAGGTGCTCCCAGTTGCAGTAGGTGCTGCGCAGGATTTCGTCTGCAAACACCTGCAGCTCTCCATCGTAGAAGAGCTCATTCGGGATCTTCAGAATGGCTGGATGAGACCTGGGGGGGGGGGGGACAAACCGGTTTTAGGGAGGGGTAGAGTTTTAACAACAAGCGTCAGTGAAAAGGCTTGCTTGAAAACATCATACAGTTAAAGCTTCAGTTGTACTTTGCACGAGGGAGATGGCAATAACCACGCTGCGGCCAGAGTTACCATGATCTGTAACTATGCTAAAGTACCTAACCATGTTCCAAGAACAGAATCTGTCTGCAGCCATTACGAAATGTGTATTGAGCAATAAAACACAAGCTGCACTGGACGTGTAAAATCTGGAGGGTGAAAGGAAAACATAGGACACTACAGAAGAAATAAAATGTGCTGAGTCCTCTCAAATGGATGGGCTTGCTTCCTGTTGCAAAAAGAAGAAACTTCAGTGCCTGAGGTTTAACAGAATTGTTCCAAAGACAGTTTGAAATACATCACAATACCTGTCATTCAGTTCTAAATTTCAAATGTACCAGCAAAACAGCAGTAAAATATAAGTGTTCCTCAGTTCCACCAACTAATGTATACAGTCATCTACTTTTCATCTTAATTAGGTCATTGGATTAACTGTTCTCTTCATAGGACATCTATCCAAAGACTAAAGCAGGTGCTGAACAGGAGAAATGAAGATCCAAAGAAGTGGAGCTGAAAAGCGCAGACTGATACATACCTGTAGTTGCGTAGTAACTTGGTGACAAAGATGCCGTTGTACTGACCCGTATTCACATTCTTCTGGTACAGGGGATTAGTGGTCATCAGCCTCTCCAGCAGGGACACCCCTATGGAAACAAGTAATCCCTTGTTGAGCAAGGCCAGTGCATATTTAAATATTAAAAAATGTAATTACTAATTTATCTGGCTGACACTTTATACAGATGAGTATTTCACCAGAACAATTTATTGAGCAAAGTACCTTGCTCAAAGGTACAACAGCAGTGTCTCACCTGGGATTTGAACCCACAGCCTTCTGGTTACAGGTCCAGAGTGGTAACCACTGTACTACACAGTTGTGCCTTATGTCTTAGTATCTTTCTTAAACTGCTTCGTCATTTATTTCGTCATAGTATTTTGTCCCAGACAAACCGCTCTCACAGTTTTTGTATTGTTAAGTAGGCTGGTGCAGCTGTATAAAACACTGAAGGCGGCACCAGGTCTCACCCAGCCCATGTGTAATCGCCAGGGGGGATCGGAGAATGGGTCCAAGCTGCTTGGGGTCTCCTGCTAAAACCAGCTGCCCTCTGTGTCCATCCAGGAGCCCTGGAAAATTCCAAAGAGCTTCAGTTTCAGCTTCCTGTGAGGGAACATATCTCCTGCAGTTTTCAATACTCCCATACTCCCTAGCACATTGGTTTTTTGTTTTTACTAGTTTATGGGATTTGATTTCTGCTCGATCATTGACACCACCCTCAATCACATCACATCACTTTCAATTACCGCTTATCCAATTTAGGGTCACGTAGCGCTAACCAGGGTCAACAGAATATTTCTCTTTCAGATGAACAGTAAGGTGCTTGGATATGAACTGCATCATTTCAGTTGCCAGACTCCACAACAAAAAACATTTACACATACGTTAGTGTTCTGAGACCAGTGCACCTGCCTTAAGAAGGACAGCTAAACGGGGCTCCGTATGCTCTCGAGTGTATGTTCACAGGCTGTTTTTAAATCAAACCCCATGCCACAGGGTTTTGCTTGAAACGCAACACAGGATATGAGAGCAGGGGAGGGGAGGAAGGGGCAACAGCAGCAGTGGTAGGACCTGTACGGCTGCTGTCCGTGGGTATAAGAGAGCTCACCCGCCATTCCGATGATGCACTCGGGCTCCACAGCGTGCCCCGCCTCGTCGACAAAGAGGTGAGTGAAATGGCCTGGTGGGATCCCTCCTGACACCAGCCTGCGGACAGCAGCCAGCGGGACAGAGCCACAGCGGTTAACATGGGGCCCAGCAGCAGCTGCTGCACTTTGAGGAGCTTCCATTAGGAGAGTTTATCCCAGTAGATTTGCACTCCTTTTTCCATTTTTGTTTCATGGGAATCTTAAGATTACCTGAGTATTTTCTATGCTTTAACCAGCTTCGAATCTCTGCCACCTGCATAAGTGTTTGTCTTGTTTTTACAGTCATTTATAGGTGTTCTGCTACAGTGTACTCTGCTTTTAATATGGTCTATCATAAAAATATTTTAATGCATTCAAACCATAAGAGTAACAATAAGAGATATTATATATTATATTATATACTCCTACAAAACCAGAATCACTTTCAATGTTTGTATGCAGGGAATAAGAGATAATAAGTTGCACATATAAATTATAAATTAAAATCCAACTCTATTGCCAAAAAGTTTTAAAAATACGGGAGAACCTTTATATTGAGAAGGGCTTATTCTAGCTCATTCAACTTCATTATGACCGTTTAAGCATTTCTGTTTAAATCCTACACTTCCTTAATGTGTTCTATCCTGCACATTCTATGGATACTGTGAGATCTGTGCAATTCCCTAGGAGATTACATGCCACTAATACTGTTAAATGTGAGCCGTTTTTTTAAGGAAACATCAGCCAAACATATTAACAGATAAAATTCATTTTCATCGTTGATTTGCATTTAAATTCCTAAGAAGAGCATTTAAAAACGAGAACAGGAGGTGCTTCTTTACCCAAAGGTTTGTCAGGGTGTGGAACAAGCTTCCCAACCATGTGATTTGAAGCCAATAGCCTTTTTTAAAAAAAAGGCTGGATGAGACCCTTGGATCAATGAGCTACTACTACCAAACAGGCTAGATGGGAAGAATGCTCTATTCTCATTTGACACTTTGCTTAAGTTCTTAATTTGGAAAGAGCTTTTGAAGCACTGATTCCCAAGTCTTGAATATTCCAACATAAAATCATGCCTCTGAAGTAATTTGGATTCCCTCACCAGTATGCCTCATGCTGTAGGTGATTTGCACCCACAAACTGCTGTTAAGGATCAGATCCCTGACAGAGAGTACCGCTTCAATGACTGTGGGTCTGTAAGAAAACCAGGGACATGCTAATAGCCTACCATCCTGCAGTGACCACAGTGGTGACAATGATCCGGAACTTCATCAGCTCTTCTTTTGAAGGATTCACGTAGCAATCACGTGTGGGGTTCCAGTTACAACAGTTCTGCCACACAGAACACACAAAGGTTACAAACAAATGGCCATGTGTTTCACTTTGCCTGGGCAGATGCAAGTTATTACTGTTCCCCCGTAACAGCTGTTATATTCCAGACGTATGATCAAATAAGCAATACACCTGATTGAAGCTGATTTCTGAGGGTACTCACAAGCAGGTCTATGGGCAGGGTGTTGGGGTCTCTGCTGCTGGCGTACATGCGGTACACCTGGTGATGATCAATATGCCTGATGAGACGCTGGCATAGCAAGTCAGAGGCACTGTTAGAGGGGGCACAGGCCAAGACGTGGGAGGAAGGATCCAATCTGTGCACCTGAAACACAAAGAGTCTTACCTGAGTCTGGTAGAGACGAAAAGCACTAATGTAAAACATGGTGCCCAAGAATATACCCAGTCAGTGACCCAGCTTGAGCCAAATTTGGCTGAGCCAAATGTGCAGTGAAAATGATTAGCCAGCTTATCAGCACATTAATGTATGTGATGTTCAGACACCTAATAATGAATTTGCATCCACAACATGAAACAACATCAAGATTAATCAATATGGTCAAACCTGTTTGATAGCTTCAACTATGGTGACTGTTTTACCGGTTCCTGGGGGCCCGAACACCAGGAAGGGAGCAGGCTTGGACACTCCAGCCACGATACACTGGACCGCCCTGTACTGCTCTGGATTGCTCTCCAGGTTCTGGTCAAACAGCCTTGCTCTGAAACAAGCACCAAGGAAATTAACCTGTCAGACTACGCAAGATAATGGGTGTTCAAGAAAGTCACTGGATAGCACGTTATCACCTCATTCAACCAGGTTGGATATTGGTGTTAGGTTGAATGTACAGATACAACCTTGTGGACCTGGGATATTCACAACAACTAGTATGTCTGGACACAAAGTAAAAGTCCCCGAATCTTACTCTCCTTGGTTTCAGGAAAGCAGGTCCACATACTTTCATGTCCTGTTAATACAATTGGAAGAATCCCCGACACTGACCTGAGGTCTGGAAGGTTCTGGTCAGGCGCTTCGGAAGCAGTGGGGAACAACACTTTGCCCAGCCCATTTTTATTTGCCATCTCCACAGCCCTGTGCTGCAGCTTCAGGGGCATCCGGTTGAAGGTGAAGGATACATCAAACTTCATGTTGGGAATGAACATATGCAGTAGCCTAGGAAGGAAGCAATAAAACACATTACAGGTTATCTTTCACGAACTGGGTTTGCGTTTCAACCCAAAAAGTCTAAATACCGTATTCAACAACTGATCCTTCAGAATATATACTCACATTAGACTGAGCACACTTCACCTATACTATACGAATGCAATATAAAAAAAAATATAAAACAGAGCTGCCTAAAGTCAAGATATACAACAGTTCACAAGAGCTGGCGACCAGACAGGACGTGAACAACATAAAAGACATTTCCAACAAGCTACTCAAAACTGTTGCAACATGTACAAAGTTTTATTTGTCAGGAAGGTACTACCTTAAACCTGAAAGTGATTGGACTCTGTGTCTGTACCTGAAGAGATCAAGGATAATCAATAATGGGGACACAGGAACAAAACTTACTTCTGGGAAAAACCCAGTTTGACCCTCTCCAGCTCCACCTTGTAGACGTAGCCCTTGTACTTGGTGATAGGCTCAACATGGTCATCACTCTTCGACACGAGCAGGTGGTCTCCCCTCAGAACAGAGGGTCTGTTCTCCGCTACACCAGGAACCTGGGAGTACAGACACAGCAGCCACAAACCAAGGAGGATTAAACCCCTTATCAAAGCCTTTGCACAGATGACAGAATACCCCTCTCATTGTCATGTGTGTTTTCAAGTGTAACTGTGTATTCCTTTAAGAAACAGCTGAATCAGGAGACCCACCGAATCGGCATAGGAAGCCTCAAACTAAAAAAAAGTTCTCAGACTTTGTATTTTTCCTACAGTTATTCTAAAAAAGGGAAGTGTCTTGCAGTGTCTCTACGCACATGAAGAATGAGGAGTTTCTTGTTTTGAGGGTCTTCTGTCATGGTCTGCACTTCCATGTCATACTTCTTAATGTCCACCTCCATCTGAATCTCCTCCAAGTGTAGCAGCAGCTGGAACCTCTTGCTGTAGTTCTCGAAATTCAGAGAAGGTTCCAGGAGAGCCCTGAACACAGAGAAGAACTTCTCCATTTCTGTACACAACAATCTTCAACATCCTTTCCACTTAGTTATACATTTCCTGTGACAAAAAAATTGATCCGCTGGCACACAGTGTGTCTGGCCACTTGATTCATTCACACCGCAGGCCCGCAGGGCAAACAGGAAGACTGGAGCATTTGATGGAGAACTACCACAGCTCTCACTGACAACACAGCAAGCATCTGCCATCAAGAAAGGCCGATATGTTAGGTGAAGGAGACTTCAGCTGTGACCTAGGGCTTCCCCGTCACAATACAACGTGGCTCAACCTGCACTCCAGTCCAATGGTAAAATGGTCTTTTGATATTACAGGTTATAGGAGGAAGTACTTCAGTTCTCTTACCTCACAGAAAGTAGCTGGTTTCTGTCTGTGGGGAACAGCCTATCCGAGTCTTCCAGTCTCTCTCTCGCAAGGTTCTTCAAGTAACTGGGGTAATTGTACGGCGCACAAAAAACCACTTGTTTCAGCTGCTGTACTGTATTGCTGTGAAAAACCAGCAGCGTGAGATTAGACCTTAGTACGACAACTACACAACATGTGAAAAGAGGCAGAGCGATGGGCTTGGATGCAAGTCAACTCTTCTTGGGTGAAGCTCTACAGGTTTTAATTCCTGACGAATTCAATGATTCAGGTTTTACTAAACACCTCAGTTGGGCTTCTTACTTAATTACACCCCTGAGGTTCTCCTACCTTTCTGGTGGGACTCCCTCCTCCACCTGGATGGTGACAGGCCTGCGGATAGCCCTCTGGTAAGGCCTGTATGGAGAGCTGGGGCCCAGCTGCTCTGCCAAGCTGCTGTTGGCCACAGCCCCCAGGTAGCGGATGATGTAAAACGGCTTGGAGTTGGCCACACCGTGGGGTCTGAACTCAAAGGCCACCGTGACAGGAAAGAACCCAAAGTGAGAAACTTGGCATTGAACCTGGATTTCATAGCGGTCACCTAGGCAGCACAAATACAAAATAAAAGGAACAGTGTTAATAAAGCCCACCTAACAAAGCCTGAAAATTAGACATTTTCAATGCCAGTAATGCCAGTAAGGGAAACACAGACAAGATACCACATTGATATCTGCAGCTGACAACCAAGGGTCAGGGCAGGGATTCTGAAGGAAGTAACCCGATAAGGCCAAGGTTGGGAAAGCAGACTTGTTTGCCATAATCAAGAGGTCACTAGAATTGATCTGGGTTTCACCACTGCCATTAGCCATCTCTGACTGGGAATCCCAAAAGTGAGGCACACAATTAGCCATGCCTGACCTTGAGAACACTCCCTTAGTTCCCTTAGTTCTCTGCTCAACAGCGCCATCTGTCCCCTGCAGCAACATCAGTTCTGCATATGATGCCTCAGCTCTGGCATAAAGTGTGGAAAGAAGCTGGATGACCAGGCAGTGTAGTTTTAAAGCTCTCTTGCACTAGAGATCTAGAATTTTGGGTTCTGAATAATGATATTTTGGCTAATAAATGAATCAAAATTCTAAGAGAGCTCTCCCTTGGTTGCTATTATCTATATTGCCTTAGAAAACTAAAACACACATTTCAGGAAACAACCTGCTACATGTATTTTATGCCAAGGGACACAATTATATTTAGTACAACTTGGAAAAACTATCTTCCAAGTAATTTCTTTTATACCAAGCGTCTGAATAAAGAGATACTATATTAGTTGTTATCAATGATATATTATGTCCAGCTGTGAGTCAGTTAAGCCTACTGTAAAACTGAGGCACTGAGGTTTTGGATTTTTTAATATGCATTTCTTTTAATTCACAAACCCAGAACTGTCTACCATTTCAGTTTTATTAATAAAAAATCCTCTTTCAAATCAAAGCCGTAATAGTAAAGAAAGTAACTTTATTCCTATTTAGCAAAGCAAAGAGGGCAACTGGTGTCTTAGATACATTTTTGATTAAATATACTAAATATGTTTTTTCTTCCTTAGAATTCATAGAAAAAACTACCCCCCACCAGATTTTAAAAGCCAGTCTTCTGTTTTAGAAACTGTTGTGTCTTTTACCTGGATTGAGAAGGAGAGGACAGGCCCTGGTGACACGCTGTTCATCCACAAAACTGAAAAACCGCATCCTGTGCAGAGGGGTGTAGAGGGTAAACTGCACAGGGTCCTCCCCTTTGTTTTCAATGTAAAAGTGAAGGTGGTAGGGCTCATTAGGGGAGACTTTGAACGTGATCTTGTTGTCTGTGGACTCATGATCTGATGTGATCACAATGCCTGCCTTGTCAGCAATAAAGGCAGATCTGTGGATGAATGAAAAAAAAAAACAGGTAAACAGACATCGAGTGAACTCTTGCTGACATTCAATAAGCCCGATTAAACCATCTCTGCAAAACAAGACCATCTGGGTTCTGACAATAAACAGCACACAGGTAGCTGGTTAGCTACAACGCCGTTAAGCCAAACCTCAGAACATACAGTATGTAAAGCTGGGCCTGGTCAGTACTTCAGATGAAGACAGGTTTCTGTTATAGTAATCAGATTTTGATTTAATCAACATTTGCTTTGTACTTTTCCCTTCGGCTCTAAGTGCAGCAGCATTTTTGTAAGGAAATAACTGTGGGAATGTGCTGTGTTTCACCTTGGTTCACTTAGGCTCTCAAGGTGCAGTGGAGATAACTTAGAACTGTTTAGTCCCATGTAATTGTTTAAGTATAGTTGGAATGCAGACAATGTACTTCATACAAGGCTGGTCTCCACAGCAACACTGATTAATCCTTGACGGGCCTGTAGAGCTTGGTTCTAGTGAGGTGTCCTCAGTCAGAAATTAGAGTCAAGAGAAAGCATCTTTGAGAACTGTTGTGATGCATGCCCTGGTACCACAGCCTGTATGCAATTGCTTAATTAATTAGCTGTGGTTTCCAGTATTCCATGCCAGCAGCCATATTACCCTGCAGCTCACACCTGGCAGCCCACTGCAGTTAAGAAGGTGTGAGCCTGGTCAGTACCTGGGTGAGAGACCTCCTGGGGAAAATTAAGGTTGCTGCTGAAGATGTGTTAGTGGGGCCAGCAGGGGGTGCAGTCTGTGTGGGTCCTAATCCTAGTGATGAGACACTATACTGTTGCAACGCTCCGTGGAAAGCGATGGGAATGACAAGGCACAGAAAGGCATCATCGCCATCCACCAGAACCAAGGAAATCTCCAGTCGCGACAGCTACTTGTACCACTCGACCAAGGCTTCTGAGGTTGAGAGAGTGGGACTGCCCCAGTGCAACGGCTTTCCCAATTCAAAAAGCTCTCCCGCACTGGTTTCTTCGTGCAGCTCACCTTCCAAACAGACGAGTTGCACAAACTACAGCCGTCACCGTCTGACACCCGGCACTGTATTCCATATTATTCTGTGCCTAACAACTTGCTCCTCACAACTTTAACTCCACCTTGTTTCAGGAGGTGCCTGCACACAAAATTCTGATTCTGTGGTTCAGCTCCCTTGTCATTAAAAATAACAAGGGAGAATGATAGAGTAGTGGATGGTGTCTCCAATGACCTGGCTAAACTCCGGTTTGGTTTCACTCATTTTGGCCTGTCAAAATTCAGATTTAGTTCCCGGGTAATTCTTTCATTTCTCCATGCCTAGGCTGTCAGGACTAAACAATTACAGGTGAGGTGAGACCCCCTATCTACACGTACTTGGGAAACACCTGGGAAGGAAAGTGCTGTGTAAGCTACTCGCTGAAAAACACCTTAACCTGAAAAACTGAAAAACACCTTAACCGTGGAGCAGGTACCTGTTCTGCTTCAGAAGCTGGAGGAGGGCTCTGGCCAGCTTCTTTCTCCCTGGCACCTGTCCGAGGCCAGAGGCAGGGGAAGATCCGAGAGGAGCTCCATTCGGGATGGGCATGGGGGCAGCTCCAGGCTGCTGCGGGGGCCGACTCCACTGGTCACCATAGAACACTCGCACCTGCGGCGCCAGAGAGGCAAAACTACAGCTCAGAAGAGAGCCGACAGAGCAAGGAAACTCTGAAGTCCTAGAATAACCAGCCAACACCCGATGAATGAAGGCAGGCTCATTTCTCAAATCAATCGGGAAGAATACATATGATAATTACTCGCACCAAGTGCTAATGTCAAAGACATTACTGCAGTGACTGTCTTACTACCTCTGTGAATTCCAACACCAAGTGTGACTATCCACACTCAGTGCACTGGGGAGGGTGGGGGGTGTGTGTGTGAGGGGAGAAGGACGTTACTGAATGGGGGGTTACTGAGGGGACAGGGATGTGAACACTCCTGGACACTTTCTTCTACCTTGGCTGCACTACAGTCACTGGTGTTCCCCGCTACCAACACCAACACTGGCACAAGGGAATACTGGGGAGAGAAAAGCAGTTGCGCAAGGACCTAGCATTGAAAGAAAAGGGCTGAGAACCAGGTGGCTGCCAGCCTGTTCTCTGGATTGCTGTGCTCCATTATGAAAATAATAATAATTGCCTGTATAGTGTTTTCATGGAGACTCTCCTCCACCACCACCAGTGTGCAGCCCCACCTGGATGATACGACAGCAGCCATAGTGCACCCGGACGCTCACCACACACCAGCTATCAGTGGGGAGGAGAACAGAGTAATGAAGCCAGTTCATAGATGGGATTATTAGAAGGCCATGACTGGTAAAGGCCAATGGGAAATTTGGCCAGGACACCGGGGTAACACCTCTACTCTTTTCGTGAAACGCCCTGGGATTTTTAATGACCAGAGAGTCAGGACCTTGGGTTTATGTCTAATCTGGAGGACAGCACCTTTTTACATTATAGTGCCCCCGTTACTATACTGGGGCATTAGGACCCACATAAACCACAGGGTGAGCGCCCCCTGCTGGCCCCACTAATACCACTTCCAGCAGCAACCTCAGTTTTTCCCAGGTCTCCCGTCCAGGTACTGACCAGGCTCACACCTGCTTAGCTTCGGTGGGCTGCCAGATGTTGCAGGGTGACTAGGGTGAAAAATGTACCATAGTAAAGGTGCATGGTGCTTTTGTCATGCTTATTACCACTAATTTTTATATGCCTTGGTTTATCTTTAGTGCACTTTTACAAGAAGTCAACTCTGCTTTACTGTGGTTTAAGTGCAGTAGCTTTTTAGAAACAGTATGATTCAGGAAGTTCTAACCGTTCTTGTGCACCTTCAACAGCAGGCCTGCAGGACCTGTGTCCACTGGCAGGTGTAACTGCAGCTGTTCTTAATGGATGGCTCGCTCCCCTTTCTCCCAAGAGCCTCGACCCCACCACGCCTGTCTGGATGTACACACTACGTCCGAGCCGAGAAGGTAAGATAAAGCACTATACTGTGTTTTCACACACGTACTCAGCCCCACAAGCGCTGGCATGTTTAGCGAGAGCAGGGAGAAAAAACTTGCAAAAGTCACAAGGTGGAATTCTCTCTGTGCCTTTGCACCTCTGAACAGACAGTTTCGTAAGTACAGCACCAGCAAGACACATTCTATTCTACGAACATAGAGTTACAAATAACAGGAGGCCATTCAACCTGTCTAGGTCAGTGGGTTTGTAGCAGCTAACTGGTCCAAGGATCTCCTCCATTTTGTTGAAGGAAGCCAGAGCATCTCTTTTAACAACATGGCTGGGCAGCTTGTTCCAGACTCCCACACCCTTTGTGTAAAGTTGTGCCTTCTGTTTCACATTTCAAATGCAACAGCCCATTCTTTTCATTCTGTGCCCTTGGGTTTGTGTTTCACTTTTGATCCTTGCTTAATTTGGTGCTGTTTTCAAGGAAGTACCTCAGTTTCACATTTAAGATCTCAGAAACTTAGCATTCTTTTTTAAAAAACAAGGTTACATTAATAAGGCTAATAATAATAATTATAATAATAATGAGTTTCAATGAGATGGATAATGAGTTTTGTTTAACATGACAACAAATAGAGTTGCTTTACATTTACAGTTTCTCTCAAGGCAATCATTACAAAGTATGATAAGAAGGTAATTAGAAGAAGAGAGTGAACTCAGCTGACTGCAAGTTTAAAAATAGACACTGGCAGGACAGTCTTGCTGCTGGCACCTCACTTTCCAAAAATGAGGAGTTGCTTGCCTTTGAGGACAATTCAGCACACATGAGATACAAAAAGACAGGAGCGTACCTGCCTGTTCGTTAGGGTGTGGTGAAACGTAGTCGTGAGTCACCACACATAGCTCCACTGAGAAAATAAAATTACAGCTGTAACATCTGGACACGTCATGTTTCTCTGGGGTTGCTAACAAAACACAGAAAAGCGGAAATCAAATCATTCAGTAACTAGGGGAAATAAACGTAATCCCCAGGAAAACCCTATATATTAACATCATCTGATGGGACATCTTTTTTCCCCCCATAGAGAAGGTGGCAATCTATAAGGGTTGTTTAAGTTTTCACACCACCTATTTAGGATGTTCAATATTTACTGAAGTTTTAGTGATGTTTAATAGGCTCTCCTGAACTCACAATCCTAATGTCAGGCGCATGTTGCATGCAAGTCAGACGCAGTTTTTTTTTACCACTTGGCATAAATAATTTAACCACTGCTAAAAGGGACATAACACATTGATCCTTTGTGACCCATCTCTGAGCTATGGCACAGAAACATAACAGAAATTTGAACAGGACTCCATTCGTCCCAGAATCCACATACTGCCTTGAGTAGGGAACCAGTAATTATAATCGTATGACAAAACTCTGCTCATGGAAAACAAGTCAACACCTTGTGATTCCACATTGTTGCTCAGGGCACCGATACTCTCAGGAAGACACAGTGCTACACAACCTGATAACACTGCAGACAAGCTTAACTGGAGTCACCGCTGGTCAGCAAACTGTAGAAAATCAGACTAGAAGCACGCAGCTGTGCCGACTTTTGGCAGAGCTGCTGCCATCTCCAGGCCAAGTGTGCCTTTACTTTATTCAATTGCAATACAAAGTGGTAAAGTTGTTATGTAAAGGATCAAGCAGGTGGGCTTTCCTGGCACTGCAGCGCTACAAATGACAGAGGTCGACAACCTGGTTAAACCGTGGAGCCACCACCACAGTTATCGTTTGTGCTACAGTTCCAGAGGGACCCACAAGCAGGCCGATCCCAGAGACAAAATCGCACTTCGTCCACAGGCCACATTTTGGAAGCCGATAAATGGACACCAGGGAAGCAAATTCTCAACATCCAGCAAATCGTCAACAATCAGATTGTTCTTTAGTGGAGCTCATACTGGAGAAATTACATCTCGTATATATATATATTCGTATGAGCTTAACGTGCAGAAGTTACATAGTTATATTATCACAGTCAGCTGCCTCAGCCAGTCGCGGCTGGCATCGTCCAAATCGGCAAAGTTGCCGGGGCACCTGAAGCGAGGGCAGGAATACATCATGTGGTCGGCCGTCTGCCCCTTGCCGTCGCCGCATTCGTAAATTGGGAATCTCACCAGCGAGACCCCCACTTGTGTAGGGTGGCCCGGAAACGGCCATGTCCGGTTCTTAGTCAGTTCAGCTTGACCCAGGCTTGTCTGGGCAGGTCATTTCCAGCGGGTTTGTTAGATACTTTGTCGATAAACTGTTTCAGTCTGTGGTTGTTGTTATTCCACTTTTTGTTAGCCCAATTGGTGCCATTGTCGTTGTTTGCTTCTACATCTCGTAGAAGGTAATGGAAAACATGGACATTTAAGTTTTCACAGTGTTGTTGACATGACAGGAATGACACTGTTAATATAACGCTCGCTGTCAAAAAGATTATTTAAGAGTAGACAGGCTATTGAACTAGAAGTTTTCGAAACAGAAGGCTCTTTTAGAGATTGTACCAACAAACCAGAAAAGTATTCAAGTGTTCAAAATAAGACAGACTTAGTTCAATAACACAAATTCAAGATACTTGACGGAGGATTTTATGCGTAACACCCACTAAGAGCATTTGCTTCTCAACAGACACACTGCAGAAGACAAAACTGAAAGACCATGACAACTCAGGACTGTCTTGTTGTTTTTTCTTGGAGGGAGGGTGTGAGATTCACCTCTCACCTCTCACCAGCACGACAAACACAACACCCTGCCTTTCATAAGATGAGCTGGAGCTGGAGTTGGTGAATTATTCAGCAAGAATCAAAATAGTAGCAGCATCTGAAAGCCTGTTCTGAGATAATGCAATTTCCCCACTTACACCAGTAGAGAAAATTCAGGTGACCCAAGTGCACTGTAACTTTCTCAAAGCCGAGAGCACACTCCAAAAATACACCAACGCACAAAAAAAAGAGTAATTTATCAACATTTAGATTTACATTTATAAAGCTTCAGCTTCAAAAGCAGACATGTAGAAAGTCCCAGTTCCAAATGCGATGTGTATTTTAACACGCAGTCTTAGTCAAACTCCTACAGTAACTCTTAGTCAAAATGCAATGAATACTTGCAGCTGTGAGATAAGGGAAAGCACACATTCAGCATTGCAGACATGCATGGTTAGTGTTTGTACTGTATCAGCATTTCCTGCAGACAGCGAAAACTTTACTGCCTGCAGCTCTTTCTACACCATGGCCTCCATAGAAGGCGATATTAAATGAATGACAATGGAAAGAAACTGTCTCTCTTAGCCGAGGCTTGTACGCAAGCAAGATGTAAACGAAAGACAGAATACGCCTATAACATGCTCAGATTTTCCTACAGCAGGACAAAGCCTCTTTCCCTCTCAGACAATAATAATAATAATAATTGCTTACACTTATATAGTGCTTTTCTGGACACTCCACTCAAAGCGCTTTACAGGTAATGGGGACTCCCCTTCACCACCACCAATGTGCAGCATCCACCTGGATGATGCGACGGCAGCCATAGTGCGCCAGAACGCTCACCACACATCAGCTATCAGTGGGGAGGAGAGCAGAGTAATGGAGCCAATTCATAGATTAATTCACTATTCAGCTCTACAATTCACTAACCAGAAGAAGCTTGCCAGAGATCGTTTCGAGACAACTACTGTAAACACAAATGACAGTTTCCTACAGAACACAATTGAGGACAATTGTTAGATGACAGGAAATGTAAATGTTTCTGACATTTAAGTTTTGATTTTTTCTCATGACTACTTACATTTTGCAGACCATTACGCTTGGTGTTATTTTCTTATTTTTGTGATTATTTACAAGAACAGTTTTGCGCCACAGAAGCCTGGCAAAAGGGCACACATACAGTACAGTAATTAAGGTATGAAGCTTTCCTTGAATCCAGCACTCAGCTTTTGCAGCTCAACTTTCTGGATTAATTTCCACAAAGACTCTAATGCTCCTGGGAGTTATTCTGATAATTTTTTTCTCCCAATGAGCATTGAAAACAGAATTACTATCAACACTTCACATTCACTGTCACACTAAAACATGACCCTGCTTTCACAGGTTTGTTTGCTATGAAACAAAAATATTCCTGTTGCCTCACCAAGATGTGGTTTTCAAATGTTTATGGTCTGAGATAATCACCAAAAAAATTGCGACAGGTTAGCAGCAAGTGACATGTGTCTTGTATCAACATCACTTCCTATTAAATCCAATGTGCACCGAAATTTGGCATTTTTGCCAGTCTAAGCAATTGAAAAATTGAAAGTATTTTTCTTAACCAAGCTGATATACTGTACATATTGCATCCAATGATTTCAATCCGAATGAATTTAAATGTACGTTACAAAAAATGTAGGTACGTTTAACGTGCGTGAAAAAAAACATAACACTAACAGTAATTATTTATGTTCTGCCGTCCCATGAAAGTAGAATACAGTTCAATATTGTCACCATCTTCCTGAACTAAAGGTCAAATGAGGTCAGAGGATCTTTAGTGGAATTTCTCTATTTTGTAAAATGAACTTGACCTCGTCCACTCTACGACTTGTTTTTAATCAGAATCAATTTCTATAGAGTTAAAGATCTCTGGGCTTAAAGAACCATCTCCGCGAGCAGAACTTGAGAACATCCAACTAGAAGCGGCGCTCCGCACTTACCTGCGTATTGAAGCACAGCTGTCCTCTGATCAGTTTCGCCTTGCGGTGTTTAACCAAGGCATAAACGATCCTGGAAAAAGAGGGCTGCCTTTCTCCGTTTCTGTGAGAAGAAAAACAGCAGTTCAGGTGAGGGCAGAGTGGACAAGCACAACTTGGGCGCAACTGCGTTACAGAAGCATCAGCATCTTCTACCTGTTTCTGAACTCTGAGTTGTAGATGCCCTTAAGTTCCTCCCTGTCTGTTTTCGAACTTCTGTTTGTCTCCTCCAAGAAATCCATGAAGTCCAGCCCCGTTATCATATTTTCTCTGACGGTCGGCATCGCAGCTAGACGAGCGGAAACGGTAAACAAAATAAAACCCGTTTAAGAGCACCAGAACCGCGTATGTAAAGCGGACTCGGCGACAGCAGGAACTCGCCTGTGAATCCAATGTGTAGGGAGGGACGTCACTGATGACGTTTCGAAAACACTCAGGAACACGGGCCCAATGAGCGGCTGTGGCGGCGCCAGTTCTTGGTAAAGTGTTGCCGCTGGCTTGAGGAAACGAAAGTTAAGAGAAGGGACTATCTGTGATCGTAAAAAAATGATAAATACAAAGTAGTCGTGTTGAACTGCACACCTCAAAGTGAAAACGAGGCACAACCCTTGGGTTCCTTTTTGTAAACGGAGGATCGGGAGATTATTTGAGCTGTATTTGTTCGTTAATGGGTTTTGCGTTTGGCATCAACTCAAGATTAAGAAATGATCCCTAAACAAGCTGGGACATCAGTCCAAGCTGGCACAGTTTAGTGCCCAGGGCGATATTAACAGGGATATTTCGTTATATTTGGTGTGCCAAGTTTTCCTTGAAACGAGTCTCTACGGTTTCTATCAACCTTTACCCTTCTGCCACATGCAAACACAGTAGGTGTCTCGAGTAAATTACGAAAAAAGTAATAAGCCCATTTCGACACAATTTAGCCGTGCATTCCTACGAAAACGCAAAAAGCTCTGCCATCAACAAAGAACATATAGAATCTAGAAAGCACACTTTGAGCTTTTGAACAAATGTAAGTAAGCGAAATGACATTTTTTTCTCCACCATGTTTTGATGAGAACACAAAGAGACGTAGCAATCTGCTCTCTGCACAAAGGTTGTTTGGAAAGAGCACCGGTAAACACTGTTCTGAATTCATGAAAATGATCCAAAAAGGATCAATGGACCCCACAAACACTCCTGACTACAACTCCCCTCCCTCAAGCCCACCCAAAGAAAATAACTTTGCAGTGCAGTGGGACAGTTTCATATAACATCTTCAAAACACTGCAGATTTCATTATGTGGATTAACACATATTCATGGGCATAGAGTTTCGATTTAACAGAACAGAAACTGAAAGTGTTTCTCTTAGTAGTAAGCCTAAAACACAATTCTAAATTGTATACCTCAGTATGCTATATTGTTTGCTATAAATATTTGAGTTGGTGTAATTGTGTACATGTTCTTAGGGTTGTCAGGTTAACCTGACCTTTGTAGAAGCAAGAAAGCTAACATTAGGTTTGTAGTATTATGTAAACAATATGTTTATTTCCTTCGCCCTTGTTTTTAAGAGCCAGGATAACAAATAAACATTAGGTATTCAGAACAGTAAAAATGTTGACACAAAGAATCCAAAATAACTAAAAAGGCTTCCAAAATCAAAGACAATAGAAAGTACTTGAACATGTTTATTTATTTGGCTGTCTACTTCAAGAGGTGAATCTGATTTACAAATATGAAGGATGTGATTGTGAATCAGCCTTTTTGGGTAAGATGATAATACAGTTTTAGTCTGTGGGTAACTGGGTTTTATTCCAGACCTGGGGTGCTGTTTGTGTGGAGTTTGTTTGTTCTCCTGTGTTTGTGTGGGTTTCCTCCCACACTTACTGGTACAGTAGGTTAATTGGTTTCTGGGAAAATATCTCCTGGTGTGAGTGTGTGCGTATCTGTGACAGTGTGTGCCCTGCGATGGACTGGTGTCGACGGACAGGGTGTACAGTATCTTGCTTTGTGCCTGTTGCCTGCTGAAATTGGCTCCAGTTCCTCTGCAACTCTGAATTGGAAGGACCAGTTAGAAAAAGGTTGGATGAATCAAAATTCATGAATTAGAAAACAGTTTGTGTTAACAAAATTGGAGACACGTTGGCCTGGCTCTAGACCTTATTATAGCAGACAGAGGAAAATTGAAGAGAAGGAAGATTCTGCAGGTCTAGTTTGGCCAGATTATGACTCACCCATTGCCTAATCACTGAGACGTTTGTCCCGAGTTCAACATGTGCTAATCATTAATGAGACATGGTTGTCTCATCTGTGTAATTTTAGATTTCATTTCCCTGAAAATATTAGTATGGCACTGTTTGCTTTGCTTGTTCCACAATTGTCCACCTCTAGGACTTGATAAAACACATATCAAGCTCTGTTTGCATATTAAGCCAAGGACATGACTCAGCAGCTTTGTTGTTTTACAGTTATAAAGCTGCTAATTTCTTTGCTGGAAGACTGTGACACAGTGGTGTTGTTCAATATACAATTCTTTATAATTTTTCTCTGATTAACTTCTTATTAAAGGTCTCACACCTGTCTTCAGACACAATAGCTTTTAAATAGCATCAAGGTTGATTTCCCTCGAGCACAAGATGTTCTCTGTGACTAAAAGCACAATTTCTAGCTGAAATTGAATTAACTGAAGGTGGAACACTGAAACGCTAACCCAAGGAGACTTTCTTTCTGTCACATCATTTGAATTTGTATAGACAATTGTTCATCTTCAGGATGCCCCTTTTTCCACATCCAAATGTTATGTCACTAATGGCTTATTTTTACCGATCACATTTCTCTCTCTCATCTTTTACAGACCACAACCCCTTTTTATATTTAGAACTTAACCAAAGTGACATATCCATCCATTTTCTGTTTTTTTCAATTCAGGTCATGGGGAAGCTGGAGCCTTTCCTGGCAAGCAGCGTACATCCTGGACGGCAGAGGATAATCGGGGACAATCACGCAGACACTCACACCAGGGCCCACCTGGATGATGCGACAGCAGCCATAGTGCACCCATATGTTCACCACACACCAACTATCAGTGGGGAGGAGAACAGAGTGATGAAGACAGTTCATAGCAGTGGATTAGGAGGAGGCCATAGGCCTGGGGAAAATTTGTCCAGGATGTCATGGTAACACCCTGGGGTGAGAAACACCCTGAGATTTTTTAAAGAACATAGAGAGTCAGGACCTCGGTTTTACGTCTCATCCGAAGGACAGTCCCTTTTTACACTATAGTATCCCCATCACTATTCTGGGGCATTAGGTCCCACACAGACCGCAGGTTGAGTGCCCCCTGCTGGCCCCAATAACACCATTTTCAGTAGCAACCTTAGTTTTTCCCCAGGAGGTCTCTCATCCAGATACTGACCAGGCTCACACCTGCATAGCTTCAGTGGGTTGCCAGTTGTGAGTTGTAGGATGATATGGCTCCTGGCCATGTATGGCCTACCATGATTAACCTTCTAGTATGCCTTTAAACTGTGGAAGGAAATCAGAGCACCCCGGAGAAACTCACACGAACATGGGGAGAACATAAAACTCCACACAGATAGCACCAGAGGCCCAGACTTGAAACCAAATCCCCAGCACTGCGAGGCAGCAATGCTAACCGATCTATAAAGTGCCACCCCAAAGTGACAAAAACTCTTTGCAATTGATTCGTTCAGGACAGCAGTAATAATGACTAAATGAAACTGAAGAAAGAAACTGACCAACCTGTCTGCATTCACTTTTGATTCCTTGTTGTGCAATGGAGCGTCAGTGCAGTAGAGCTCATCCTGCACAGCCCACAGGTGTAGCTCCAGGCTGGTCTAGTGCTGCCATCATGTGGCAGACAGAGAACACTGCGTGTTTCTCTTTCACACAGAGGCCGTGAGCCTAAAGTGGTTAGCTTTAACCAGACCACACCTTACACCTCTGAAACCTGGAAGCTACATTAAAGTCATGAATTTGCTGCCAGTCCATCGCAGGGTAGACGGATACAAACAAACACCCACCCACACCAGGACCAATTTTCACAGAAACCAATTAACCCATCGGTATGTTTTTGGATCACAGGAGGATACCAGAGCACCCAGAGGAAACATAACTTTACCACAGTAAAGTGCTATTTCATTTCCAATTACAGCCTTGAAGCCATAGTATATACACACACACATATATATATATATGGGTAACAGGACTCATTTGGTGCCCTTTATCATGATGCAAACCCATTGTAGGCTGACTAGCATGCTGGCATTGTAGGTCTCTACAAGTACCAGTACCCGAAGATTGTGAATGTTCTAAATCTTTCCTATTAACCCAATGTGTGTGTGTGTGTTTGTCTGCCCTGCATTGGACTGGAATCTCACCCAGCGTACACCCTATCTTGAGCCCAGTTCCCCTGCGACCCTGAACTGGGAGAAGTGGTTAGAAATTGGAAAGATGAAAGGAATGTAGGCGTTTTGCGATGGATTGTTATGCTTCAGGCCTTGGAGTACACCCCAGAGCAGGAATCTCCATTCTGGATCCAGGAAAACCTCAGTCCAGCACGATTTATAAGTGGTCTGTAAGTCATCAAACACTGTAGCCCTGGAACACTGTAACTGATCAAGTAAACTGGTGGTGTGCATTCAATAAACTAATTTAAAGATCATTTGGAATAAAAAGTGGAACACCATTCATCCCTGAAGGAGCTGTGTTCCCTTCATTAAAACACCACTTGCTTAGTAATTGCTTAAACGAGTGTTCCTAATCTTTAATGTGATTTCGAGTGACCTATAAGAATAAGAAATTAATAAAATAACAATTCTAAAAAATTCCTCATCACACCTATGCCCGAAGCTAAGCAGGTGTGAGCTTGGTCAGTACCTGGATGGGAGACCTCCTGGGAAAAACTAAGGTTGCTGCTGGAAGAGGTGTCAGTGGGGCCAGTAGGGGGCGCTCACCTTGTGGTCTGTGTGGGTCCTAATGCCCCAATATAGTGAGGGGGACACTATAGTGTAAAAAGGCACCTTCCTTTGGATGAGATGTAAAACCGAGGTCCTGACTCTCTGTGGTCATTAAAAATCCCAGGGCATTTCTTGAAAACAGTAGGGGCGTTATCACAGCATCCTGGCCAAATTACCCTTTGGCCTTTACCAATCATGTCCTCCTAGTAATCCCCATCTCTGAAATGGCTTCATCACTCTGTTCTCCTCCCCGCTGATAGCTGGTGTGTGGTGAGAGTACTGGCACACTATGGCTGCCGTGGCATTATCCAGGTGGGGCTGCATATTGGTAGTGGTGGAGGAGAGTCCCCATTATCTGTAAAGCGCTTTGAGTGGAGTGTCAGAAAAACATTATAGAAGTGTAAGGAATTATTAAAAGTCTCCAGCTAAAATGCATTTTCCCCCAATATGTTACAAATACAATCTTGTTACTGATTTTGCAATAGCATGACATTTAGATGGCAGGACTCTCAACTGCTTTATCCAATTCAGAGTGGTGGGGAAGCTTGAGCCTAATCTAGCAAGCAACAGGCACAGGGCAGGATACACCCTGGATGGGATGCCAGGCCGTTGCAGGGCTGACACAAACACTCAGACTGGGGCCAGTTTTCCCAGGAGCCTGTCAACTCCCCACAATCCAGAAACCTATGTTTTTGGACTGTAGAAGGAAACTGGAGCACCTGGGGCAAACCAGGAAAGAACATATAAACTCCACACAGTTAGCACCTCATGTCCAGAATGGAACCCAGGATGTGCTCAGTAGCAATGCTAACCATTGCGCCACCCCATAACCCTAATCACTATATAACAAATAAACATTTGCTGCATTTACTGAAGATGTTACTGACATCCCTGCTTGCCCCTTGAAATATGCAGCAGTGATCTTTTATTGATAAGCCTGAGACAGAAGTTGGGCAATTCAGGAGTTGTGTTTTAGTATCAGCACAGCATACGTCTGACCCAGCTGGCAAAAATAGTACGGAGATCCTAACATTTCAGTACCCTTTAGCTGCATTGTTTCCTATAGATCATCTGCATACCTCCTGTACAGTAGGGTGGAAACATTACAAATCATTACATACAGAACGAAGAAAACCTAAGAAATTAGATGTTTTCTTGCAAGATAAAGAATCCAACAATGGAAGACTTCTCCAAAATAATCCTTTTTAAAAAAAAAAAAAGTGGCTCAGGGTTTCGTGAAATATCCCTTTTGCAGCTCTTCACTTTGGGCCCACCAGTCCCAAGGAAACCTGTGGTCAGTTCTGTCTGTGCTACTACATTCCTGTGAAAGACCACCACCCTCCAGATCGTGGCCTCCCTCACTCTGAAATGCAGACAGAGCAAATGCTACAGACATTGTACCTGGAGGTAAAAAAAAAATACTAACGTAGTTTGATCACCTACGGCAATCTTCAATTCACAACAAGAAGAGACAGCAAAGAGCAAGCAGAAGACAAGAGGGAGACACTGGTAGAATAACTCGCAAGTGTATTGTCCAATCGACATGGTTTTACACAGAGGACCACAAGATATAAATGGATGACAGTAATGAGATATAATACAGATGGTTTCATTCCAAAAGAGATGCATTTACAGGAAGAGACACTTCTGTCAGCTGTTCTCTATTGCTTCAAGAACTGTTACTAGTAGTGCTGTTATTTTAACGGAGCCACTCTATTCTTTTGTTTTTTGCATAAATCTACTAATCCAAGGCTCCCCAAGCGTTTAATTTTTATGAAAGGTATGGTCTCACTGAAGCGCGTAAGATAGTAAAGACAATACTAATAGTGCAGATGCTACAGGAAGTGAAAGCTACAACATGACCAAAAACAAGCTCTGCAATTCCCCAGAAAAGCCAGATACAGCCAGAAAATGTGGATATAACCAGCTAGCGGCCTGTTTTACACATTCAGTTTCATCTTCCTACAGTAACAGCATGATAGTGAGATTAAGAGCTAAAAGATGAATACATTATTTATTAAAGATAGGCGTTCCCTTTTGAAGTGCTCATACACAAGCCAAAACCTTTAGGACACAACTGAGACACCCCACACTGGACATTTCAGACTTCCTTAAATGTTTAAACATTCTCACCATCAAAAAGAGAACTATTTTAGAGGCAGTGATGGGACTTCAAAAGAGTAAATTGGTTGGCCATTACTTTCCGAGTCAAGGAATAGGAAAACCCCAAAATCTCCTACTGATTTTGTGAAGTGGTAAAAACAGGGCCAAGGAAAGCTAGCTCAGGCAATTTTGGGGGGCACCCTGCCACCCAAGCAAATACATTTTTTTACAGTGCTCTTTCAGACTGCAAATGTTCCCCGATATTATACACATCGCTGGTCAGAGCATCTGGCCATGACTTCAAGCCACTGTGATGAGAATTGCACTAAAGTGGCTCAACAATTCCAGAGCTCACAAGAATTGAGTCAACCAGGGTGCCCCTGCTTGTGACTTGCTTGGCACCCGAAAACAAGCAGTGTTATTGATGAGAGCTGCAGCCACACTGCTGCCGTTGTGAGAATAAGAGGGTGAACGTGCAGCATTCATCACTCCTGGGCAAGAGGATTCAACACCCACAGCTCAAAACCTGGAGGTTACAATCTTGGAGTTTCCCTTTGAATTCCAAAGGTGCAGAAAGCGGGTTGCCAACTAACATTCCCAACATCCACATGCTGTCCTAGAAGCTGCCCAATTGAGATGTTTTCAATTCACCTTCTGCCTCCAAGAACCCAGGAAAAAACAAAAGCTATTTTAAAAAAAACAAAATTCCTCTGGATTAAGGAAACCCCACAATTTGGTGCAAATCCTTTATTCCATTTGAATTTATACATGTTTGTTCTTACAGTTGTAAAAATATTTAGCACTAAAAGCTAATGAAAGGAAAAAAAAGGACATCTATGGAGACAGGATAACTTCCACTTGTTCATCTCCACTCTCACACTTTACACCAGAAGGGGGCGGCAGCTTTTCGCAAATTAAGACAGAAAGAGGTCGAACCACAAATTCTGTGCAAGGAGTTTTAACACTGCAAAGCAACCAGCCCCGCGGGCTAGGTTTAGGTATGGCGTGTGGATGCATAGACAAAAACACTGTTCCCCCCCCCCACCTTTTTGGCTGCCTTTAAATCCATCAATTCTGCACATGCAGACCAGAGGGGAGAAACAAAACCACAGCAGTTTTCCCAATAGGCAACAGTGCCTTAAGACTTCTTACTACAGAAATCAAATTACCCCCAACACTACATTGCATAACCAAATCGTTGTCTTGTGTACACAGAGGAAGGAACACACTTGAACTTGGGATCTTTACCATGGGAAAGAGATTTTGCAGAAGATCAAACTGGGTTACTGTAAAGTATTTTCCTGACATTGGAGACATAGCAGTTATGCACCATTATTTCAGTCACTGCGAAACTTGTTTGCGGAAGCTCTGGTGCAGTGGGGATGTAGTTTAAAGGTGTATCAAAACCGTTCGAGATTGGATCTGCTCAACTCGGGCAAATGAAGAAGGATGTAAGCAAGCTAAAACTATCTGACTGCTGCAGACAGCTCTGACTGCTAAGCATGTCAGTTGGCATGGCATGGGGCACTAGTTACTACCTCCATCAGAGACTTCATAGAGGGGGGAGGGGGCGTGGGGGTGGGAGAGAGAGAGAAAAGCCTCTGTTGTCTCAAAGTGTACGGAATAATTAGAATAACTCGTTCAAATGCAAGATAAGCTTCAATTCTACTGATAAGTCAGTGCTTATTCAATTAGATCTCGATTTTCCAATAGCCTGAGCAACGAAAGTACCCCTGCCCATTTTAAACCTTGGGTTCTTTAAAAAAAAAAAATCAATCCTCCACCCCCACCCCCCCAAGGAAAACAAACATCGGACCACACTTTCCGTGAGACCACACCTTGCTTTGCCTCTTTCTTTTTTTTTCAAAGTTTTAGTTTGTCTTTTTTTTTTTTGCACACGTTGGTAACATTAGCGAACTCATGCACATCTGCTCTAAGCGTTCTGCATCTCTTTGCCGATCTTGTAGCTCAAGATCTTGTTCCAGTCGATCTTGGTGCGGGTGACAGGCAGCTGCCGGCGTAAGGCTTTGAATGTGGTGTCGGACATGGTCTGGTAGTTCTCGCTGATGGCCGTCTGCCCGGGACACGCAGGAAAGAAGAAAAAATGGAAAAGGAGGGAGGCAGGGTTATATAAGGTGGCAGGATTCTCATTTTACTCTACACACTCATTCTGCAGCAGTTTGGTCAATCTTTTGGAATGGCCTGGTCTCAAAATCATTTCTTACCAGCAAAAAAATAGGTCATTTTGTCACAAACAAGGAACAATGTCAATACCAACCAACCACGAGGCAGGGTTAGACTTTCCCCCCCTTCCTCTCCACCTATCAAACTGGTACCCGAGATAAATCGCACTGCAGGTTTCTCATTGCCAGCTATTGGCAATCCTGACACATTCAGAACGTGCGCCTTAGCATGCCCTGGAAATACCCATTTTTTCCTACATATCTCCCTGTAATTAACAACTACAACTTTCATAATGGGCATCTGTACCCCCTGCTGCATGAGACAGTAGTGCTTGTCTGCTCCTCTGTGTGCCACTTACACATGCAAAAGGACTAAAAAGCAGGAGCGCAGCCCATATCCTACAGCCCTGACGTCGCTGGTTTAAATACAGACATCTGCCCTCCGCCTGTGAGCTTTATACCACAAATCAGACTCTATGGATTTTTCTTTTAGTTATCATGCTACTATCCCTACGCTACTACCACAGGGATACACATGGAGAGGCGTTACAAATTCAACAAATACAAGTGGTTCCCATATTTAATTGGAGCCAAAGCCAGTTTTGTTAAGTTTTCAGTATGCTCTTTAACACTGGCCCCTGCTGGCTGATAGGTGGCCCCACTCTTCCAAACAAATAAAAACACAATTCTTAAATGTAAGTTACCCCTCAGATTTGGGGTTCTCTTCGGAGTCCAATCCTCAGTTGGAATGAAAACTACAAGAGACCTTGATTACCAAGTTTCCTCTTTCCTAGATGTGCCGTGTCAACGACCACATTTTAAGCGGTAAGGGTTACTAATTACTAAGAATAATTATCATATTTATCACATTTTGTTTTTTTGCACTTGAGAATAATAAATGGAAGAACCACATGAAAAAACTTTGCAAGTTTTCAGTGCTTTAGAAAAGTCGTGCATCTGTGTCCTGCAGCCCGCACAAACACTTAGCATTTGGTGCAAAACGCACTGGTTGAAGAGCCTGGCAGCTTTGTGCAATACATCTCTCACTGCACAACAGGAACAGGAAACCAAGTTTTGCGTTGCCCCGGGGAAAAACGTAAGTTAAATGGTGCCACAGACTGAGACTTTCCCGCCTAAACACATACATGCAGAGAGGTGGGAAAACAAACACAAACTAATCAAAGGCTGAGGAGATCACCACTAGCTCAAAATGAAGCCTTGAAACAGAAAGCAAAAATTGAAATGATGATAAAAAAGCAAAAGTAAGCTGAACCGTGCTTGGTGCGAGAGAACTTACCTGGTACTCGTTTTCTGCACTTTCAATTATTTTCACAAACTCCTTGGCAGTCTGGGTTTCATTCTGCAAGAGTGCGAAAAGAAAAGGTTTATTGCAGAGAAGGTGAAACACACCCATAGACTTCTGATGGGGCTGGAAAGCACTCTCATAGATAGCTTTTATAAATACAGACAACTCATTATCTTTCTGTGCGATTTTACTAGGCCATGCAAGAACACTACAGCTACCAACCACCCATCTAAACTGACGCCAGAGAAAAGTCCTGTAAATACGTCAAAAAAGTTCAGATTTATTGCAAACTCTTATTTGATTTTTTTAAATTGATACTTCTGCTCTTTTCACTATTCCACAAGTACTGTAGACCAAAATAGAAATAACAGCACAACACTGTTAAAACATCCCAATTAAGAACATAAGAACAGTTACAAACACTATCATAATATCGGGTCCATCTAGCCCATATGGCAGTTTAGCGACCCGATCTCATCTAGCTCCAACAATATGGCTGGGCAGCTTGTTCCACACTCCCACCACCCTTTGCATAAACCAGCACCTCCCGTTATCGGTTTTTAAAAGCAGTTCCACTTAGCCGGACATGCTTTTGTGACCTGGTTTTCCAAAACTTTCGTCATGCCTGAACTGGCTTTCGAGCTCCTCGACAGCCAGCGGCACTCCTGGAGGTGTTTTAGACTCGAGAGGCCGAGGCGGGCTGCGATGTGGGCCCGTGGCTGGGTGGCCTCCTGCCGCAGCGCTGTGCTCGAATCTTATCTGAACGAGCTTCCTTTTAAGGGCAGAAGTTCAGGACGCGAGGAAGTGAGTCAGCAAACCGCACCAGCGTGCCGGCAGCGCTTCAGAGAGCCGGAGGACCAACTTACAGTCACTGTTATGGACTCCTGCAAATCCTTATGACTAACAAGCTGGACGTTGCCATCCTCATAGTAATGCACCTGTATGGGGAACACGCAAAGAGGCACAATCAATTGCAGAGGAGACATGCGATATATATATATAACTCATACACGAGATACAGGAATCGTAAAACCTTTAATGACAGGACGTTGCTTTGTTTTTTTACACTGCTGTGGCCACTAAAGCACTGACAAGTTTCAAACAGGTTAGGAAATGAAGGGAGGTATCCCAGCTCTTCAATGCCAAAAGGCGAACCCCGAGTTTGACTTCAGAGTCAAAAAATGAAAGAGGATGAGTCACTGTGAAAGAAATTTAAATTGGCACATTGTGCGATGGAAAAAAAAAAAAGGTCCTTTATTAGACCAAGTGTAGTGCGTGTCAACAACAAACTGCCCTGAACATGAAAGAAAGCAACTGAAGTAGATTTTAGGTGCAAGAGATTTAATGCCAAACGCCACCCTTTCAGTGTAAGATGATTAAAAGATGGAATAGGGGAGGCACTAACATTGCTGCCTTGCAGCACTGGGGCCCTGGGTTCAATTCTGGACCTGGGGTGCTATCTGCATGGAGCTTGTATGTTCCTCCTGTTTTAGTGTGGGTTTCCTCCAGGTGCTCCAGTCTCCTCCCACAGTCCAAAGACACATTAGTGGTAGGCTGGCTTCTGGGAAAACTGGCCCCAGCATGAGTGTGTGTACGTCTATGTCTGTGTGCCCTTCAATGCACTGGCACCCCGTCCAGAGTGAAACCTGCCTTGTGCTGGTTGCTTGCTGAGATCCTTGACTCCGTTGAAACCCTTCATCGGATAAAGTAGTTATGAATGAATGGAATATCTTAATATTTTGTAATCTGCACAACGTTTTCGTTCAATACAAATCCGTGTCTATCTTTAAAGGGCTGGGAACATGAAACTAAAGGCAGGGGAATGAATGAATCTCATGCTCTTCTCTCCACTTGTCACTTCAGGGCTCCCTGTACCAAACTGAAATAAAACCCCTTCCTTGCATGGCAAAAAGCAAATCAAACAGTTATTCAGAGATCCATCCCAGTATGCAGAACACACCTGGATCTTCAGGACTCCCACCACCTGAGAAGTGGACTGGGTGATAGTGAACTTCCATTCAGATCTGCAACGGCCATTCCTAGAAAGAACAGAAAAAAAAAAGAACGAAGACTCGTCACCATGCTCTGAGCTGAGGGAAATAGGGCTCTCTCTCCGAGGCTCAGCCATTTCAGGTGTCACAAGCTGGGTGAATCTCTTTTAAAAAAGGTTTAAAGTGATAAGCAGCAATTAATGTAATTAACTGCAAGAAAGTGCAAACCAATCATTTCAACCTCTTTTTTCATTAAAGCCTAAAGTATTTTTTTTGCCAGACATAAGGCCATTCAGCAATCATATTACATCACCCTTTTCAACACACTTTCTAGCTTCACAGCAAATCAAAAGTTGTCAACTTAGCAATTTCTCTTGTTGGAAAAAACAGCTTCCCTTATCCCATCACTTTATTTCCTTTTATATTCTTACATGACCAGATCAATTAACTAGCAACCAAACAGGCTACATAGGCTCAATAGCCCCTTGTTTGTAACCTTTCTTATGTTCCTTTAACCTAGGAACCACACATACATTGAAAGTGATGTCACTTTTGCAATCCACTCAGTGGCCTGCATTAGCATTTATTTCAATTGGTTGATTCTGTCACATTTTAAAAGCCCTGAATGTATTTTATGACATCACGGGTTCGGTTTAATGAACTCCGTTTCAAGATAATGCTAATCACAGCCTTCGAACCTGAAACGTCCATCTCATACCGCTCACCGTCTTGATGGTCAGATTTCACCTTGGCTACAGGACTGATCAGGTACTGCTAAAGTAACAGATTGCCTCATTCAACACTTCTCACCTCTCTCCCTAATCAATGCAAAGCCCAACTTTTTTTGTTTATTCTAACTTGCTTTAGAGTAGGGGTCCAGGAGAGCTCCTATTCATTAGGTTTCACAGGTTTCACCCAACTGGATATTTGTAAACATCAGAAACACATATGTTTTTGATCAATCAAGCAAATTTTTTAAATTAAGGAAGGCTGACGTGTACTCACAGTTGTGTCCCAAATAATCACTGAATACTATCATAACAGCATTTGGCATTTGTACAAACTATCTGGTGCTATTTTCTGTATAGAAAGCACCAGATACACCCCTTCTGTTCAAGACAGGAAATTAACAGGTTCTTACCAGAAGTTTTTGGGTTGAAACTGGTGGCCTTCAATGCAGGCAATGATGGTCTGTTGCCCATCAATTGTTTTGCCATAAACCTGGAGGAAGAGAAAAGGCATAAATAAGCTCATGAAATAAACAGAAACTGCGTGCAAAACAGTATTGCTTATGTGGAATGGTATGATCATGCATAAATGTGAATTCCCTGAAGGAGATAAATAAGCACTTAACTGCATCTTGTCTGCCACCAACATATCTGTAGATTTTTTTTCTTCTTAAATCTGTCACATTCAAAACTTCCTGTTAGGACATCCTGTTAATTCAGAAACACCCTCTAACAAATCAGAAGTCCTACATCGGAGCAGGATGGGCTGAATGCTTATGGGTATCTCTCCACAGATCCCACTCAAGGATCATATTTTTCTAACTTGGTCCCACAGTGTGTCCTCATACCTGGCCTATTACAGCTCCAGTTTTCTGCCTCTGTTTTTATAACCTGTGCTATGCCACTACACAAAGGAGCAGGTCACCAGCATCATTTATGAAAATTTTATGTTGTCTGTTCACCGTTCAAGTTCAAGGTCTCTTTTTCTGCAGCTGCCCATAAGTAACTTTGTGTATTTGATGTATGAGCTTGTTAGAATGTTGAACATTGCCTTATAACATTTTTTCTTCAGGATTTTATAACATTATAAGCAATGAAATTCTTAAATAAAGGGATCAGCTCAATAAACTGATAAAGCCACATGAATCTGAATGACTAAACTGAAATTCTCTTAAGCCTGTCCTCACCAGCTGCTTATCTTATCAAATAACAGAAATCTAGCAAAAGCAAACCTGCTCTCTTCTAAGTCTATGGAAATGAGCATTCTACCCTGACAGGTAAACAAGCCAGATTACCTGTTAGGTAAATGATTAGGAAACCACAGTGCCAATTTGATTAGAATTAAGTGTGACTTTCAAAGGGCACTGTTTTGACATGTATGCTGCAGCTATATCAGGCTTCATTTTTATTAGCTGGTGAGAGCAATTCTTTCAAGGATATTGAAACTATTTATACACCCTACAACTTACAACTGGCAGCCCACTGAAGCTCAGCAGGTGTGAGCCTGGCCAGGATGGGAGACCTCCTGGGAAAAACTAAAGTTGCTGCTGGAAAAGGTATTATAGGGGCTAGTAGGGGACACTCACCCAGCAGTCTGTGTGGCTCCTAATGCCCCAGAATAGTGACGGGGACACCATACTGTAAAAAGGTGCCGTCTTTCCGATGAGACATAAAACCAAGGTCCTGACTCACTGTGGTTATTAAAAATCACTGGATGTTTCTCGAAAAGAGTAGGGGTGTTACCCCGGCCTCCTGGCCAAATTTCCCTTGAGCCTTTATCAATCATGGCCTCCTAATAATCCACATTTCTGAATTGGCTTAATCACTCTGTTCTTCTCCCCACTGATAGCTGGTGTGTGGTGAGTGTACTGGCGCACTATCGCTGCACATTGGTGGTGGTGGAGGGGAGTCCCCATTGCTTTGAGCGGAGTGTCCAGAATAGCACAATATAAGTGTAAGTGTATAATTGCATTATTTCACATAATGCCAGGAAAAGTAAATGAAGTGATCTTATCTGATTACTGGCTGTAGTGCTCCACCTTGTCTGTAATACAGATTTTATTCCTGCTCTTAACCCAATGTTACAAATAAAAAGAAAACAGTGGAAAAAACAGACCATTAAGTATAGCCTGAAGCGAGTCATATTTGTAATGCAACTGGAACTCGAACAATCTCAACACCATCTGAGAACACCCACCCGTCTTCAGTCCCCTGAGCTCCCATATGATGTCGGATTAGACAAACCGCGAGAGCATGGTTAGTGAGCAAGAAGGCAAGAATCCCCTTCCTTCACATATTAGCTACTATTATTTTCATAAATATAAAATCCCAATGAAGCTTCTCGCTCCATTCCAAGAAGAGCTTGCTATCTCCCATTTGCGATCATCTATTTCTCCTGTGGTTCCTTCTCTTTGTCTCAGTTTGGAATAGCGGACAGTGGCAAGCACGCGCGAGATGACGGCTTCCTCCTACATGGGCATTGTCAGGCCCTGCATTGCACCTCCTCATTCTGCAACTCCCGCGCTATAGCAAGAACAGCATTCTGCACCAACGTGGGACCAGCACAGCTCTAACTCTCACAGCTCTAACAGGAGATCAGAGGGTCCAGGCAAGCTGCAGGGGTTACACAAAAGTCAAACTATCCCAGTTCTGGAGGTGCTGCTTGAGAAACCCTGGACAGTCTGCACCCACACCAGCCTGTTAACTACCTCACACTGGATACTGCATCTGAGATATCTTAGCAGCACCCATTGTGAATAAAAGAATGAGAGATGGATTTTTTAGTTCTTGGCATTCTATTGCTCTCTATTTACTCTTTTGCCAGAAGAGGCAATGTCTAGACCACAGGAATCTCAGAGCTCAATATTCCCAGGCTCTAGGGGGCATCACAGACCGGTGTCTACTAAACGGGCGTAACTACTGCCTTCACAGAGCAGAAGAAACTGGGCCGCTCATTCCAATTAAAGTCAGCAGTCTTTCCAGAGGAAAAAAAGGGAAGTCAAGGGAGCAAATGCTGTGCTGATGCATCTTTTCTAAAAAAGAAGGAAGGGTGCAAAACTTGAAACTCATTTCTCGGAAACAGGAGGCCTAAAGATAATTAAAATAGCTGTATAAACTGAAACTATCCCCAAGGTAGACCTGTGATTTTATGTCCTTTACATGCAAATGAACTGATGGTCAAAAAATCTCTTTGTACTAGAGTGTTCTGCGATTTTTATTGTTTAACTGGGTAACTGCTTTCCTTCTTTTCAGGCCCTTAACAGTTTGAAACTTCTATATCTGGAATGAATTGCATGTTTCAGGCTCAAGGAAAAAAAAAAAGGCAACAGAGGTCACACAAACTTCAATCCATCGCAATTCTGGAGGAGCTGCTTGAGGAACCTTGATCAGTCTACACCTGTTAACCATCTCACAATGGGTGCTACTTCTTAAAAACCTATTACAATAGGTGCTTCCTCCAGGATAGGTCTTCACAATCCCTTGTTTTCAAGAGAAAGAGTGAAACCAAGATGTGAAATATCCAACTCCCATTCTTTAATTCCCCAAAAACCTCTTCCGGGAGTGGGAGCGGGTACGCACCGTGCAGAAGCCGCTGGGATAGTGCTCCTTGACGTAGGCCCTCAAGGCGGTGTCGCAGGCGTCCCGCCACGACCTCAGCGAAGCCTCCCCCTCGTAGGGCTGCGGGTCGCTGGCTTCTTTCCTCAAGTGGTCGAACTTGAAGGACAGCTTGTTCCGGGGGTCGAAGAAGCGGCCGTGGCCCAGGTCTCCGTGCTCTGTGATCAGGACCTAGAGGAGATGATGGCGCGCTTGAAGGAAGTCTCCCTTTGGTCGTCTCCTGCCCTGCCAGGCGCTTTGACCTACATCGATCTTACACGATCTCTGACTATTCCTCCAGATATACAGATACTTGCCGTTACAAAAGTACACTCAGAGTCATAATCATAAAACACAGCGTAATTCAGAACAATCAATTACATCTTTATGCATACTAAAAATATTTGCATTATTCTGTACTACATTGTTTGTACAACACTAATCACAAAATGTAGTTTTCTTAAGTTTTTAGCCCAGCCATACCATTGCTATAAGTATCTATCTATCTATTATATTAGAAGCACCAATCTGATCTGCCCTCCCAGAGTTCTAATATGTGTGTGTGTGAGCAGCTTATATCGGTCATTTCATCATTCAACCATCTCACTTGCAATTTACAGCCTCATGGAGTCAGGTCTCACCCATTCATGACCTTTGAAAACTTATGATCGAGCAAAGTGACACAATGGCATCGACCTCGGGCATTTTAAAAAAAGCTCTAGAACGCCGAGAAGAAATCAAAAGAAATAAATCCAGAGGTTACAAAGCAGTGTCACAGCCAGGGTGCTGTGACAAACCTCTGTTACCTCGACCAAAATATCATCCACCCTCACCTGATCGTCATACCCTTCAATTTTGGCAAGGGTGAACTGATCCATGTTGTACTGGGCAAACGCGCTGTGGCAGAACAAAAAAAATAAAAAAAGTTAGACATGATAGGAATTAATGGAACCAAATGAGTCTCGAGCTGAAAAAAAGATTCATTTCCAATTCCATTAAATACGATGATGTGGAAAATTCAACCTCATGGCTGCAGCAGATTTTTACAGCCTATTGTCAGTTTTGCTCCTGGATATGGGTATTGTATGACAAATCGATATCCTGCTGTGTAAAAGTCCTGGACTTGAAATGTGACCAGAATCATCAACAACCTGATCCCAACAATTCAGGTAACTATACATGAACAGCCTTAGTGTTGTTGTCGTAGCAGCATCACATTTACCAACCAAATAACACTGACTTATTGTCAAGGTTTCCATATCCTTAACGTAATTTGGTCCGCTCTATACATCCATAAGTCAAAATGTTTTTTTCTGTCCTAAAAAACATCGATCAGAGCTAACGTAGCTTAAAATAAATAGCCAGGATTTCAACAGGAGGGTTCCACAGAATTGTTTCTGCATAGAAAAGGAAAAACACTGAGCACTGAGTTAAAAGTGTAGACGTTTTCAGAGCAGTACATTTATAACCCCAGTTTAGGCACAGATATAGAAAAGAACCCTTCATATAGCTTGGATATTACTACTTTCTATTGTGCACAAAACCAACAGTGAATTCCCTGCTGAACGTTCTCAGACAGAAAGTACCTTCCAATCTTACTGGTAAGAGAAATGGGCTCCAGTTTTCAGGTCCTCTAGAATTCTCTTTGAGAGCTGACCCACACTGAGAAAGGCCAAGAAGAGTCTGATTCTCAGTAGAGCCCATTCTCAGTGTCACAGTGAAACCCAGAGTTCAATATTTCCAGGCTCTAGAGGACATCACAGACCAGTGTCTACTTAACCAGTGACAGGCGTTACTGCTGCCTTCACAGAGCTGAAGAAACTGGGACACTCATTCCAATGAAAGCCAGAAGTCTTTCCAGAGGAAACAAAGGGTGAAGCAAAGGGAGAAGATGCTGTGCTAATGCATCTTTTCTAAAAAAGAAGGAAGGGTGCAAAACCTGAAGCTCATTTCTTGGAAATAGGAGGCCTAAAGATATTTAAAACGGCTGTATAAACTGAAACTATCCCCAAGGTAGACCTGTGATTTTATGTCCTTTACATGCAAAGAAACGGATTTGGTCCAAAAATGGCTTTGCACTACAGTGTTCTGTGATTTGGTGCGATTAACTGGGTAACTGCTTAACTTCTTTACAGTCTGAAACTACTATATCTGGAATGAACTGCATGTTTTAAGCTCGAGGCAAAAAAAAATGCCCTGCGGCGCCAGAGACGTTTCCCCCCTCAAAACCCACTGAAACCCCCCTGAAATCTGGAAGAGAGGACAAGTACTCACTGTGCCGCCCCCTCCCTGAGAAGATTGTCATTGTTGAGCAGTAGCCGCACATCTGCAAAAGGAAGGAGACAGAGTTGGGTCTTCTGGTTCCGGCTCAGCACAGTGGGTTTACAAACTTTGATATACACCAGACAAGCCAATGACATACAGTACTTAATCTGCAGGTTCACCTCAATAACTTATCAAGCAACTGACATCCAGCCCAGATGAACGGATGTTCTAGCAAAAAGAAGACAATGCCCATTGGGTGAACAGTCACCTTAAGGTCACAAGTGCATTGAACAGGCCAGCCCTGCTATTCACATCTCCTAGGTCTAGCTAAGAACCAATATTCAGGCCAAGCCTAGTTTTTAAAATGTGTTGACTGACATAAGTCAGGTTCATTCTATTACAATGCTTGGATGCTATATGAATGTCATTTTTCTGTTGGCACATTTTAATTTTCATTACAAACACTATGAAAAGTGTCTGTAGCTTAAACTGTAACTTGAGTAAAAACACAAATATATCCAAGCCAACTGTCATCTGTTTGACAGGGCAAACAAATCAGAGCCTGATTCGCATTGTAAAGAGGTTCTGTATGAACTGGCTTTAACTGATAATTCAACGATTTGATTTCATGTACAATTATGAACAGAATGTAAGATATCTTTCAGCCCTAGTGATGAATGTGAGACCTTAGACAATATATACTGCTTTTACCATTATTATTTAAAAGATCACAACAGAACAGCTTGTCACAGAAGTGCTAACAGACCAGACCAAACGTTATGCAATACCCACATTATTAAACTGTGAAAAAAATTGAAAACTAAAACATTTCGTTTTGAAAGACTGATGAGCAGACCTTTCTTACGAAAGAGGCGTTTTTTAGGAGTTGGTATTACTGGACGAAAAGACTCTTCAGATCTGGATCAATATTTCCTTACTTTCTCGTAAATGACTTTCATTTTTTTAAAAGAAAAGGCTGATACAATCACTGGAAGCTGCCGTAATCACTCCTGCTACTGATTAACCTTTAAAGGCAGCCGGACATTTGTCCACCAAACTGACATTAGCTCACAGAAGCAAAACACAAAACAGCTCCTCTCACCATTGAAGACTTCGTTAAATTCTCCTGGAGGAGCGTGGGTGACAAAATTGGCTGCTATGCGGACCTGTGGAACAGATAGCAAGATAAAAAAAACTTGAATCTCATGTGAAAAAGAGAAGTTGCAGATAGCATCTAAAGCCCGATCTAAACCTACAGCACATGTATTACTTTGCCTTTTTTTAACCTCTTGTCTTTGCTATTGCCATGACAGCATAGGGTTCTTTTTTTAAAAACTGTGACCTTCTTTTCAGCTTTTCCAAATGCTTTTTTTAACAGTTTTGTGTAAATGCCAGAACGGGTATCAGCGTGTTTCTACAGTCTTATAGGTCACTTGCGATGGCGGTCTACATTTCACGCCCATGATTGTTTCTAAACTTTTGACGTTACACCAGCAAGTCCCTCGTCCTCTGGGTTGGTCAGCTTACGCCCGGCTGGCCTGACGTCACACCCAGCCGCGAGAGAGAGAGAGCGAGACCTGCCTCTCAACTTTCACACAGGGGAAGTAACTGTGGCTGGCACTTCACCAGCAGCTGGGAGCGACAGCAAACCGCAGAAAAGACAATACTCGGTGCAAGAAATGCGCAAATGAGTTTGAATTTCATTCGCCGGGACTGGAAAAGTCAAATTGACTCAATTGGTTTCTGTTTCTCAATTTCTCTTTTTTTAAAACAGAGTCTCGCCACCCCTGAAGACAGGAGTTAGAGAACAGGTAGAGGCCTGACTGCTAACCCTTGCAAAAGCCCAGTGTAGTAACCACACACTCGATTATGAAATACTACAGCACAGTAGGAGTCTTTCAGGTTACCAGAGTTCAATACTGGGCACCAGAGTCAATAGAAGGGAGAAAAAATACCTTCTCTGCAGGTTCTCAAACTCTGCCATTCCTTAGATGGCAGGAACTCTATCCTGGGCTTTTCTTAGTAAGCCATACTGCACATGTAAGCATGTAGGCTATCTGTTGCTGGCAGTGAGATACACCGGGGTAGTGGGGGGGGGGGGAGTTTGACAGGTTAGTTTCAGGCTTGCGCAGGTCTGGGCTCTTACGTTAGAGAAGGGGAGCGTTTGACAGCAGAGCAAGAAGAGGAGCGCCCCACAACCCGTTAACTCCCCCGCCACCTTGAGACGACTACTGCGCATGCTTGTACTTCAAGCACGTTGGAGCTTTTTAAGAAGCAGACCCCCGATGTCCCTGGTAGATATTTGCAATGCTCTGCTCAAGCTCAAGTCCACTTCGAGGAATACAACGCAGAAACCTCAGAACACATTTACGGGACACAGTACAAAGTGCCTAACACAGGGGATTGGGTAACCTTTGAACATGATGAAGACGAACGTTTTATATTTCGGGGCCTTTTCAGGTTTTTGGAATAAACTAAATTATTAAGTGAGAGGCCCTCAAAAGGTGAAATATTCTGAGACACAGTAAACTACATTAATCCAGTCACTGCTGCGGTTTCTATAAACCCGCAGTGTGAGATGGTGCACTGTAATTTTCAGTGTAGACACCCTAAAACTAAAAAAAAAAAGAGTAGTTCATAAATTACAGCATTATCCGATTTATGGTGTATTGAAGATCCTTATAATATGATTTTAGCATCCAAGCCATGAACACTTCAGCAGATTTGTCATACACAATCAATCACACTGTCAGCTCTTTCAAAAGCGATCTCCGAGTAAGGAACCACAATCAAATTCTTGCAAAACTGTTTCAGGAGCCGGCAAAGAGAGAGAGAGATTCGGCAGTGCAGTCTTAATGAGACATTCTTTGCTTCCTGCTTCGCTAGGCAGCCTTGCAGATTTTTACCATTTCAGGTAAAGGCTCTGAATTCTGCAAAAGCCTCAACTTCCTCTTTCAGAATTGCTGCAGGCTTGTCTGCAGAGACACCAGACTCCTATTGCACAGCAGTTTGCTGCCTTTCAGGTTTCACAAGCAGTCGATTCTGGCAGAAACAGGCCTAGCAGGAAGGAAAGCCATAGAATGAATTACCTTGCAGTACTTCTGTAAATCTACCTCTAGGACTGGAGCCATCTTGAATTATAGAGCACCTGGGCTTGGCTTAAATGACAGCTCACAGCTCAAGATATGTGGAATGAAGCAGGTTACTATGCAAAGAAAGACCTTTAAGTTCTCTTGCAATACTTCATAAATAACACAGATTAGACCTGGTTAACTCTTCATTCATTCTAAAACCCGTAATTTCTGGAATACTGTTACAGTATTTTAAGGATGGCAGTCACTCTCTCTGTACACAGAGCAGGCTACAGGAGGCTTCCCCAGAGACCTTCAAAACCCAAGGACTAAGAGGAAGAAACACATGTGAGGTGCTTAACATGACACTGTTTGTGCCTGTTGTGAGCTCTTTAGGCCATCCATCCATTCTCAAACTGCTTCATCCAATTCAGGGTCCCAGAGGAGCTGGGACCTATTTCACAAAGCAACAGGTACAAGACAGGGCACACGCTGGATGGGACACCAGTCCATCGCAAAGCACACACAGACACCGACCCACACACTGATTAACCCACCAGGGTGTTACTGGGAAAAAAAACGGAGCGCCTGGGGGAAATCCATGTGAACACGGAGATACCATACATGCTCCACACAGATGGCACCCCAGTTCTGTAAGGCAGTAAGGCGAACCACTGTGTCACATTGGAAAGCAATATGGAAAACCAGCAAGTGACACCTCAGCTGCAGAAGACAGACCTGACTTTATGCTTTCACTGCACAGCTAGTAATCCTGGCTAAACTGGATCCAAAGATGGAAAAGAAGCAGGCTAAAATCTACACTACAGGGAAAAATAAAAAAAGAATCAAAGGTAATTTTTGTAAACCCCAGAGCTAGATAAATATAATATGACTACATCTATCACTCATATTAATGTCAAAGCCTGACATCCATTCATTCATCAGTCTTGCACAGCACAGATGGGTTTCTATGATGCTTCTATGAACCAGGAAGAGCAGATGTCCTCCATCCTCAGCTGATCAATAATGCTGATCAATAACTCAATAAAGACCCATGTGACTCGGAACTCCTTGTTATGGTAAACTTTGAGTAAAGCTTAACTGCCCAGTTCTTCTTCCAGGTAATATCCCTCAGCTCTCCTGGTTAAATTCTAAGTTCAATCCTTACAATTGCTTTGGGCTGAAGTGAGTAGGTTGCCTTCGATTGTTAACCTGAAGGTACTAGTTGTTTCTATCCTAGCCTGACTGGACAGCCGGCTGAAAAATGAGTAACTGAAAAAGTGTGAATTGGACTCACAGCAAGCAAATCCAGACAATGTCCTTCTTTTTCTCATTTTACAGGCACATTTGTCTCAAGAGAGTGGTACTTTAATCTCAAGATTAGTCAGAGAACAGCAACAGACAGGAGGAGGGCAGTTAGCCCAACCTGTTCATCTGGCTCAGTTTTAGTCACAAACAACAATTTTGCTCACAATGGGAATCACCACCCACACACATTTGCAAGGGGTGGGGGGAAGAACCTGGGGCAACTATCAAATCCCCCACACAAACAGGGAGAACATGCAAACTCCACACAGATAGGCACTCCCATCTGGAACAGAACACAGGACCCTGGGGTATGCGAAGCATATGTGTACTTCCACACCACCTTACAGCCCTACCTGCTGCTCTTCAGATTCTTAAACATTCATGTTCACGGACAGGGGCCATTTTTCTTTCTAGCAAACAGCGCACAAAAAAGTCTACACAGCACTGTTAAAGTCATCTTTTTACCCTGAGGCACTTTTATTGCTACTCAGAATCCTACAGTGTATTGTGTATGAACAGTAGGCTGTCCAACGAGATATAGCTTAGTTCTTCCTTCTAAAGAGAGAATAATAAAAGCTAATAAAAGGCAAACTGCTTTTGAAAGATTACAGGAAATCCTGGAGTCCTGGGTAACATGAGCTTGTCAGCACCATGTAGCAAATATCAGTGGAACAAATAGATTTAGTCATCACAAACCTACAGGCCAACACCTTAATGAACAAGCAATGAAAAAAGATTACACCTCCCCCCACGACGCTAAGGCTGTAATTTTGTCATCCAAAGCTAACATTAAGACTTCTCCAGCATATGTTTGAAGTCACAAGGGCGGAGCGGTGGCTCTGTGGCTAAGGATCTGCGCCTGTGGCTGGAAGGTTGACGGTTCGTATCCCGCGGCCGGCAGAGGAATCCTACTCCGTTGGGCCCCTGAGCAAGGCCCCTTAACCCCAGCTGCTCCAGGGGCGCCGTATCAATGGCCGACCCTGCGCTCCGACCCCACGCTTCTCTCCCTGTCTGCGTGTCTCATGGAGTCTGAGTTACAATTTCTGCAATGTGGGCAATACCAACCCCAAACCACAGGTCATGCAGCTTTTTATAACATTTCTTTAAAGTTTTCCACAAAATATCCAAGGACTAGAAAAGCAACACAAATTTCCTGCAGAAATTTCCAGTCAGTATCCAGAGTTCTACCACTTCAATATGAAGATTTATTGCCCGGGTTATGCCAATCAAGACTGTTCATTTTAATAGAGTAAGGTACCTCTCCTTCTCTTTCAATATCTAAAAAAAATATTTTGTAACCGACGTCCCTGCCTTGCCTGCAGATATATATAAGCAGCACACACATCTCCTCACCTGTGGCCATTTAAAGACTCATCCAGACAGTATCATGTTTGTCTAGCAATCCCATTAACATCACTGAAACAGGAAGAGGACTGGCCACAGGGAAGCAGTGGTAACCCCTCAACCCTGTTTGCCTCCCCCAAAACAGTATTGTATAGGTATGCACATAACTATAACTGAATCAATCTGAACTACACTAACTGTAAGCACCCTTTAGATTAGTTATATTTTTATATTACATTAACAGAGACAGAAACCACTCTGAGGCTATTATTTTATATATAGACAATTTTATTTTTAGACCTGGCCATCTGAACCCTTCAGGTGTGATTACTCGAAGATTAAAAGTAAATGCCTGATCACATACATCAAGACCAACACATGCCCACGGTGAATGATAACGGCATTCTCCGGGTTTTCTTTTCACGGTCCTTGAACCAGGCAAC